AGTCCCAGGTACAATAATTGGGGGCCATTTCTCTTCTCTATTGCTATTTTCCTAATGTCACTTATCAACAGTTTGTTCACTTCCCACATCTACTGATGCACAACAGGAAAGCACGGGCCTGTGAACTGAAAGAAGAGAAGGAAGCAGCCCTCCGTGCAGCCTGTGGACTAAGACGTTGCTGGAGCTGATTTACCTACCAAGGATCCCAGAGACTCTCCCTGTGCATAGAAAGGAATACAATTTTGTTTTGAGTTGAGGTAACAGTTGACAAGAAAATGTGCTTGGATTTCAACAATGCTTCCCAGGTTATACGATGGATTCCTGAGAGAATTCTCAGCCACTTGAAGCAAGTGGCTTTCCTACTATAGTGTCTCAATGGAGACAACCCCTTTCTCTGATATTGTATTTATTAAATGAGTGAATCCATTATGTGAGGTGGGTAGAAATAAGACTACACATAACTTGAAATTTCTGAGCTGGCTATTGACTTATGGAACAAAGACTCTGGGTAGCGGGTCCGAGGGAGATTTGATGTGGCTGTTCTCCTGCAGTCTACTTGCCTTGATCCTCTTGTAACTGTTATGATTGGTTTTGATTTTCTGGGTGTCACCAATTTCTCCTTGATTTTATCAGAATTTGGCTTCATTTCCTGTGATTTTTATCATATTTTATCCAAATCCTCTTCTCTGTATATATTTTTAAAGGAACAGAATATTTGTAAATAAAGGTTTTTATCTTGTCCAAAGCCAGACATGGATAAAGCACTCTTCTTTGTAATATGTAACTGACAAAGAATGAGAAATTTATGTTGGAAACCATTTCATGAATAGATAGGTGAGAGAATTTGGTGGGTTGGTACTAACAGGTCTTGCCTTCAAGACCAGCTTCACAGGCCCAAAAGCTAATAATGGCCAGGCTATGATACAAAATAATGTTGGTCATAAAGGCATTTTATAACTTCTAGTTGTGTCATATTAATGAAGGTAGCCTGTTTGTAGGCTTTTTTGCTGCCTTAGTTTCTTCTTTTCCCTTAATTTTTAAAAGCAAATTAGGAAATTTGTTTTAATTGAATAAACCATCATACTATTCTTTCTTCTGTCTTGGAGTAGCAATTCTTTCCATGCAATTAAGTGGGGTATAGTGCTCTGTATTGTCCGTTGCCATTTTTTAAAACTAGTCTTTATTCAAGGTTTTAAAACAGTTAATTTATCTCTCACCTCTCCCCCCTCAGCCATGTCCCTTGCAATACAGTTTATGGTCAATCACAATTTGTGATTTATAAACAGGTATAAAGAGTATGCAATGTATAGACAAAAATTCTTTGGTTATACATGTCTTCTCAGGTATTGACAACTAATACTATTAGGGTCTATGACCCTTCTCTATCACGTTCCTGAAAGCCTACCCAGCACCTTAATGGACCTGGTGCCAGACTACTGGTTTCTCTCCCTCCCTCTCTGCTGGTCTCCATGGTAGCAGGAAGTCACCAAAAGAGCATGTAGCTACACAGATTCTGTTGAGTGAGAGGGTCTGGGTCTTCACTGGGCTCTGGATTTAATCCCATCCATTTCAGTTAGAACTTTACCCATTGCCTCAGTGAGAAGCTCCATCCTCAGTCATGAAGTTCTATTTCTGTACTGAGATCACAACTTGGGAAGTATTAAATATCAAACTATCAAAATATTAACATCATTGGGCTGGCAATGTTAAAGAAGTTAAATTTTAATACTTTAGGAGATAAATACGTTGCTTTTCTATAGATGTGTCTTAAACACGAACACTGACAGGTGCCAACAGATAACCTTGAGTTAAATCTTAAAGAAATACTATTGTGCTTTGCTAAGCTCTAACACATGTACCAATTTAGAGAAGCCATTTATCTAAAGCTGTAGAAAGATTAACACTGAAAGATAAATGTCAACACTTCATCTTAAACAATTAGGACTTTTTCTCTCTCTCTGTACAATAATTTTAATCTTGAATTACATAAAAATCGTCAGGTTGATTTTAGTTTAACAACAATAAAAAGTAGCCATAATAACTTGCTTTTGGATCAATTTAAAATAGATGCTATTAATCAGTTTAGGTGATAAGTGCTGTAATTTTCCAACAGTTATGAGACTCGAGGAAAAACTGATTTAAAAGCAAATTAAAATACATAAAAAATGTTTTTTTTTACAGCAACAAAATTGTAAAGCTTCCTATCTGTGATAAAGCATTTCCAACCCTGGTCTTTACCACTTAATGCCTATAGCTGAGTCTTTCTTTTAATTTAGGAGGAAAAAAAGGCAAGGCCAAAGACACCTTTGTGGCCCTGGGCATAGATGATGGACGTGTCTCTTAGCTAGCTTTGCAAAGCATGAAACTCCTGAATTATTCCACTACTGCCAGGGATAATGGTAGATGATTAAAGCCTCGTTGCTGTCTGTCACTACTTCTCAGCATTGGGAAGACCTTTTCTGGGTCCATGGACAAACTACAGAAAGTCTCTGACTACGTTAAAGTGTGTGTATGGGTACATGACACTATGGAGAGGTTTCAGGACTTCCTCACCAACATGCAAACTGTAAACTCTTGAGAAGGGTATGCTTAGTACAAAAATACATTTCAGCCGCTCTTTCAGGTCCTTGATTCTTTTTTTTTTTTTTTTTTATCTTTTAATTTCAGGCCTGTTTGAGTATCCTTGTGAGTTCTTCCTATTTCTTTGTTCTGGCCTGTGGTCTGGGTCCTTCTAAAGCCTGTTCTTGTTCTAAAGCATAATTGCCAATTGGATATTCACAATAAGGTCCCTGTCCTTTAAGAGCTCACAATCAACGGGGAAGAGGAGGCTCCTTCATGGGCATTTAAATTCTAATACAAGATAGAGTGTGTAAAGAAAGTGAAATGGGGGGACAGAAAAAGGAAGGACTATTGGAGTAGAGACTTTTCAAAGTATGGAGAAAGGGCATTTCGGATGCTTATGGCAGTGAGAGCAAAGCCACACTGAAGTATTTGCTGTGCTGGGAAGGAGGATCTATTTGATAAGAGAATGCTTTAATTTGGTTTTTCCTTGACATTATACATTATAAAATTTTGTGCATTTTAGTATGTTTTTCTTTGTCAAAGAAGAAATAGGAGAGTAGCAGCACTTGCAACTTTCTCCAGCCAACAGTCTAGGGAGAGCGTGTGTTGGTAATTCCTGACTGAGAGAGAATTCAGATTAGCCCAGATTCTTCCCTAAGATGTTATTTATAAAGTTATAAGAGTTTATCCAAGGTGTGTCTAATTTCAATTTGCATGGTGCTTTCTACTTTTTTTTTTTCTAAACAACCTTTTCTGCACACCTCACTCCAAAGTATTTGTGAGTAGAAAGGAGAGGGAGAGATTAGCGGCATAACGAAGAAAGAACTTTTAGGGCCAAGGGATTGGGTACGCACGAATGGATGTAGATGATCAGGGAGAACGTTTAAAGATGATTCCAACGTTCAAGACTGGGAGCCTCTTAGTACCATTAAAATAAACAAGGAGCTTAGAAGAGAGAAGTTGGCTTTGAAGGAAAGGATGAATTTAGTTTTTCATTCGAGTCAACGTCTCAAGTGGAAGTAGGATTTTTAAATAGGAAATCGTTGGAGGGCACCAACAGTAGTAACATCGTGCATGGGTGGGATGTGGGATGATTAACACCTGTGAAAGGCCTGAATGCAGTACAACATGGTATGTTTCAGGAACTAAACACTGTGAAGCTGGAAGTAAAACAGAAGCATCCAGAAATATACCAACTAGTAAGTCAGACTTTTAGGAGGTGGGATAAGGTGTGTGTTGGAAACCATGTTACGTAGCTCATATTTTTTCCTCTAAGGGCAAGAATGGGTCATTGAAGGGTTTTAAATAGGGTCCTGAGGAAGAGATTTGCATCTTAGAATGACTTAGAAGCCAGACAGTGCCAGAACCAGGAAATGGAAAGGCCTGGGGAGGTCCCCTCTGGCCTGTATTCCGCAATCTGTGGGGCTCCATATCCCTCTTTCTTACCAGGGCCAGGATTAGGGTGAATGAGGCAAAATTTAAGGGATGCCAGAAACCCAGCAATCAAGATTAATGATACTTTAATGCAATGCTTAAAAAACAGTAAAATTAATGAAAAAATCCCCATGAACAAAATATCAGAGTTTTAAATAAAGACAAAGTTAGCTGAAGTTAATTAAAATTACTTAAGATTGCCCCTTGGTCAAGAAAAATTGTCAGACGTGGCAATTCTTGTAATTGGAAATAAGATAAACAAAACAGTAGATTTTTAAAATATTATTGATCAGTTTACTTCCATTAAAGCCAGGAAAGTAAAATTATAACAAATTCTGTTTTGGGTATAAGTAAAATATTTAAAGTTAAAACAATGTTATGAGTTTTCATACACCTACTTTTCAAATTTTCGACATTTCTTCAAGTACTTTAATATCGGGAAAAGAATTTTCTAAATACCTAAAAACATGTAGGGACACATATTTTCCCTTGTGTCTCAGGATCCTACATGGCTTGGATCTAGTATTTAATTAAAAATTTAATTTTTTGCTCATCATGGATTTTTTGCATTAATTTTGACTTTTTAAAATATTCCACTAAAATATTATTTATCTTGATTTTAAATTTTGCGCGCTCAGCTCTTTCCTTGCTCCTCTCTCTGGTTTTCTTACAGCTTCAGAAGGCCTGGACCCTTCCAGTTTTTCCCAGCGGCGGAGCTGTCCTTCGTTTGACCTACCTCGCCCTCTCCCGGGCGCGGCTGGGAACCTCATCAAATAATTTCATTTCATTAGAAACTTGAAATAAGTCCCACTCACCACTTGGCGGCGTTGACCCATCTGCTCCCGCCTGGAAACAAGCTCCCGGAACTACCGCGTTAAGGGGGCGTGTTTCCCGCGGCGCTGGCCGGCAGCGTTTCTACGCCGCACGCCGCGGACTTTCCGTTTTCTCCTTCCTCTCGCGAGTCTTGCCTCCCGGCTGTACCCGGAAGTGATCCCGCCCTCAAGGCTGTTCGTGCTAGAGCGTCAGGTGAGGGAGGTTGAGGTCTGGAGTGCTGAGCTCCGTGTGCGTGCGGCCCTGCGTGGGTCGGAAGGTGGTGCTGTGTAGGTGTCTGTCCCCTCTGTTCTCACCGGTGCGGAGCGCGGTTTCCTCCCACCTCCCAGCCCTCCACGTTGTTGCTTGGGAGCTCCACCTTTGAGAAAGGGCGCCCGCGCATCCCGGCGGTGAGGCTGGCGAGCCCAGGGATCTCCTTGGTCTTTGCTAACGGGCACGGAGGCAGTAATTTTTGCAGCAGCAAGTTTCAGATTTGAATCCCTTGATGACATTCTAGTATTTATTGAGCCGTTATTGTGTGTTTTAGAAGCAGTGGATGTGGCAGTGAATAAATCAGACAAAAATCCCTGCCCTAAGGGAGCTTTCATGTTGATAAAATATGGGAAGACAATGGAGTGGAAATGGGAATGTTAACTCAGAATCATAAGTTTTGTATAGGTTGGAGGAAGAGGAAGTTAAGGGGGATCAAAAAGACATGCAGGTGTGAGGGTCTTTTTAGGAGGAGAGGATCCTTCTCAAATGTTCAGGGAGGTTGATGTATTTTGGTCCTAGGGTGGACTGGAGAAAAATCATCTTAGGAATTTAGGACTAGTGAGTTGTGCACTTGCTATAAGATGTAGTATTTATCTTTCTCTCTTTTTTTCTGCAGGAAAGATAAAGATTAGGTTGTAAAAAAAGAAAATAGAAGCCATGTTTCGAAGACCTGTATTACAGGTAATCACTTTTCCATCTTAGTGCTGAGGTTTATTATCATCAGCCATAGTGATCAGATTTCTCTGGGCTTTTAACTGCAGAGGCAAAAGACGGTTGAGCCCACCCACCGTGTGTATACTCATTTGATATGGAGGGTTGGGGATAGATTTTACTTGTGTAAATAATGCTCACTAAAACAAAAATTTCCTAGTTTATTCACATGATGGGAGTCATTGCTTTTTAAAACGTGTTACTTGCATTTGGATCATCTAGAGGGCATTTAAAGTCTTTAGTGATCTAAAGACTAGGAGAATTAATGTTCTAGCGTTTTCCATAAGGCGGGTGGTTCCTTTTCTGACCATCTACCTCCTATGTTGTCTCCCCCACCACACAATTTCCCTCTACTCAGGAGAACAGCTTAAGTCTCAGCATGACCACCAGTTTACTATGTGCAAAATTCCTTCTCATTCCACCCAATTTGAGTCCTCATCTCTCCAGTCACTCTAGCCAGCCTCCAGCCAGTCTAGACTACCCTTTTCTTCACTTGCCACATTTGGGCACCAAGTTCTGTAGATTCTCCTTTGTAACTGCTCTCCCCTGCTCCCCATCCTATTAAAACTAATGAAGAATCAATTCCTCTGTGAAACCTCTTCTTATCTCCCCCTCTCTACTGTAGAATTGACCCTGTATTCTTGGATCCCCATTTTAACCTTTTAACTTATTTTTTAACATGTTTATTTATGTGTTGAAATGTGAAACATGGAGAAATGACTACTATCCTAATACTGCAGTGTTGATATCTTTAAAACCTGATGTAAAAGAGTTAAAAATTTAATTAAAAAATTATCCCAACTAAATTCTTTCCCTGTTTCTACTTCTCCAGTAGGTCTTGATTTTTGTATGCCCCAAATGAGACATATTATTATTCTATAAAACTTATGGGCCCTGGCTCATCTGAGCACTCAAATTAGTACTTTTCTAGAATCATGACACGGGTAGTAGTTAGCAGTTAGATTTTTAAGTATATTGTAACTCACATCTTTATTTTCTTACCCACCCTCTGTCCCAAAACATAGTGATAGAATTCCATAGCCAACAGTACCCTGAGAATGGGAGTTCATTGATTGGTGGACGTCTGCTTTTTATTTTAACATTGCTGCCACTTGACACATGTAAGAGTTAGCCTTCTCAACTCTTAATCCAGTGATGTGCTGAGTGATGCATACTCACATCTTGGCAGTAGCCCTTGAACAGAATGTCTTGAAGGAGGCAGCAGAGGGCAGTGGGAAAAGAAACAGCCTTGGTGTCTTACGGCCCTGGGTTCTAGGCATGACTTGCCACTTATTTCTTGTAGAATCTTGGGCAAGTTACTTAATCTTTCTGAACTTCATTTGTCTCATTTCTAAAGTGGCGATAATTTTACTTGGTTTATAGATTTATTCTGAGAGTTAATTGGTAAGAGATAAAGCCCCTAGCTAGTATTCAGTAATGACAGCTGTTATTATCACTGAGTGCTGCTATTATGTGGCTGTGGCTGCTTTTCCCTGACTGATTTGGACAGTTATATCTCTGTACTTTATCAAAGGACCATATTTGTTTATCTTAGACTTTTTTCTTTCATCTATCAAAAGTGTGAATTTTCCAGTATATATTTAATTTTCCCTTTTGTGAGCAAACACAGAAACACCATAATCAGGAGGGTTCCCATGAAAGAGCTAGGAGAGGCCCATAAATGGACTTTTGTAGGTATACTCTAGTACCTCCTTTGTACCTTCGGGCTTCTGCAGTAGGCTGCCCTTAAGTGTTTGCATGGTCCCTCTGGCATTACGTAATGGGGGAACATGGGAAGTGCCTCCCTGGTCTTCTGTGGATGGCTGCTGTAGGGGTACTGTCTAGATGGTGACCAGATGTGTGTGGGTCTTCTGTTTGCATTTGCCTTTCCCTAAAAATTAAAGCCATTTTCCTCATTTGTTCCACTTTAGGTACTTCATCAATTTGTAAGACATGAATCTGAAATAGCTAGTAGCTTGGTTCTTGAAAGATGTAAGTAGTAATTTCCAAATTTAAAGTATGGTATTTATAGCAGTGTGCTAATATTCTCAAATGTGTTGCCAAAGAGGTGCGCTGGTTGGGTTATAAGCTGTTAATCATGCCTGCCTTTGGCTTATAATTTGCCTCTCAGATCTTGGCCTTGCCCCATCAGGCTTCCAGGGGCCTGTTATAAATTGGGCCTTCTTCCTTAGCAGTCAGCTTTTACTCACTCTTGTTGTCATTTTCCTGCCATAGAATTTTCTGGAGTTGTATTTGGTTATCCAAGTCTTCCAAGCTTGTGTGCTGTTTGGCTGAGAGAGTGAATGTGAAAGCTTGTATCTTTATCAAGATTTTCAGATCTTGAATTTGTTCTTTTAACCAGACTTTTTTTCTTTTTTAAAAAAAAGGAGGTTTTAAAGAAGAATTTACAATAGAATGATAAAGAGTTTAATGTTTGCTTTGTGGGGCTGCTTTGAATGAATATTTTCTCTATGAATATTTTCTCTTTTCCTGCCAACCCTCTTTTTCCCTCCCAGCCTCCCTTTATTCACTCCTTCAACTTATTTTCTGATCTTCTAGAACTTGGGTTTTGCTGACTGCCAAGATTGAAGTTAAAGTAGTATTTGTAGCTGTTCCTCTTCTGGACATTTCTCTTGGTCTCATTGTATCTACACATTGCATTTCAGCTCTGAATCGTGTACAGTTACTTGGGCGAGTAGGTCAGGACCCTGTCATGAGACAGGTGGAAGGAAAAAACCCAGTCACAATATTTTCTCTAGCAACAAATGAGATGTGGCGATCAGGAGAAAGTGAAGCATACCAAATGGGTGAGTATGAAAGAATGGGGTTTTAATTTTATCGGCAGTAAATAGACATTTTTTGTCAGTTATCTAAGTAGAGATAAGTTACTTTTGGAAAGGATCTTTCTTCTCCAATTCTATTCTGTTCTCTTAGAAATTGTAACATTGGTTTTGCTGGGCATGTTGTCCTTTGGCGTTTGTTTTGTCTGCTGGCATTTGTAACCACGTTTCCTGTTGTTGTGATTTAGGTGATGTTAGTCAAAAGACAACGTGGCACAGAATTTCAGTATTTCGGCCAGGCCTCAGAGACGTGGCATATCAGTATGTGAAAAAGGGGTAAGTGGAGGAAGGAAGGATCTTACAGATTGAACAGTTTGAAAAACTTTAACAGGTGTTCTCATGGAATGTGTATAACTCCTTTATCCCTGAATGCTGCTAATTACTCTATATTAACTCAAGAGGTATTTATTTGGTGCTTAATACTATATGCATGGTCTGTTGCCATGTGTGGCCAATTCAAAGATGTATAAAATGTGGTTTAGAACTTATAATTTAGGGCAAATAAGGCGTGTATGTAAATAGAAGCAGATGAGGCGAGAGAGAAGGCGAAGTACACTGAGTGCCATGTGAGCAGGTGCAACACATGCTGTTAGGAGTTCTCAGGTCGCCATGGCCGGGCTTCTGACGGCCGGTGTCTGGCCTCTTGGTGTCCACATGATGTCCTTTGTGGAGGATCTGGAAAGTCTTTGGCCTGACACAGTGAGGTATTATGGTAATATTCACAACTGTTATTTTGTATTTTTATATAGGCTTAGTAGTTGCATTTTGGAATGCTTGGATTGATTATAAAAAGTATCTTTTCCAAACCCACAGAAGGACAAAAGGGTGTGTTTAACAGCAGTTGTGTTCCTGGTTAATATATTTAGAAAGGTACTTGTTTTATAGAAATAAAACATATTTCATGAAAAATAATAGCAGTGACAAAAATCTATTTCCTTTCAATAACGGCGTACCTTTATGCATACGTCCATTGTCCTCTATGTATGTATGTGTGAATATGTGCATAGACACATATATAAACACATACAGGAATTTTCAAGGAAAATATCTAATGTAATTTCACCTACTAATTGATGAATCTATGTGTGTATATTCCCTTCGGCACCCAATCATTTTACCAGTTTTGTCTGCTTTCTGTATTGCACATTTTTAGTGGTGGTGGACTCTTAAAACTGGTGCCATTGTCATTTTCTGTCCTTTAAAGGGTCAGAGTTATGGTTTTCATCTAGCTTAGCCTTCTAGATAGTGCAGAAATAGTTTTAGTAATTAACTCTGGCTGAAATGCTAAGCTGAAAGTGTCTATTTTAATAATCTAAGTCCCCTGAGAATAAGTTCATGAACTTCACTATAGAAAGGGATTGAAAGATAAGTGAAAATCAACAAATCTGTCAGGGAGTCCAAAATCAAAGATTAAAGAAAACGACACATTGGAAATCAATCCTAGAGATTTAAAGGATGCCGCTAGGTTGCCCGTCCATTTTCATGGTCATAGGTTTGCTTTTTAAAAAAAATTTTGGCTTAAGATTTTGAACAGTTTTCTGTTTTTTGTAACTTCTGTAAGGATTACAGTCAGCTCAAGGATGAAAACATTGTCCTGTTTACCTAGATGTGTCAAGTCTGTGTGTACGTTCTCTTTCAGTATCCTTAATTCTGAACTTTGAGAAATGGTAGCGAAAATGAGGTTATGTATGATTATATATTTCATCTTTAGTGTATTCTCATACTGCCTCTGACCTCACTCTGAATAATATTCTCAAGCACATTAGAATCTCCAGACCGAAAACTGTAAATTTTGTTTATATCAGGTCTCGAATTTATGTGGAAGGAAAAGTAGACTATGGTGAATACACGGATAAAAATAATGTGAGACGACAAGCAACAACAATTATAGCTGGTAAGAACCTTGTGATAACAGCTGTTGTCCGTCCCGTCCCGTGTCTCCCCCGGCCTTTCCTTCTTTCAAAGCTTGGCTGTGTTGTAAGTAGCTAACTGGGGCTGTGAGTACTGATGCTAATGAGATTGTAAGGCAACTCACCAGGAGAATTCTGAGTGTCGTTTGTGGGCTTGCTAAGAGCTTTTACACTTATCTATTCCTTTGGAAAATTGTCTCTTACACTAACAGTTTTAGTTCACATGTAACTTTTGAGTAGAGTATAAATTGAACTGTCTGTGCCAGAACTGATTGTTTGGAGTTAGAAAAACTTTAATCCAGTGTCTTTGAATGACGTGGCCTCAACAGGGCGAAGCATGTGCCGAGATAGAGGTACACTGAGGCGAGTGGCATAGACTCTTGTGCAGGTTTATTCAGAACCTGTGTGGTGCTGGATTTTGTTTTAAATTCCTATTTTCATTAAACAAAATATAAAACAGCTTCAGAAAGGTGGACATACAAAGCTTAAAGAAGGTTAAGAAGATATCCCCCAGAGCAAAGTTTTCACACTTCTTTGAAAATTCCACAAGAATTTTGAAAACAGTAATACCCCTTTCGACATCTTTAAGTTGACATTAAATTTTTTTTTAAGTATAGAAATGTTACTCTTAAATGTGTTAATAGATCCAAATACCATAGCAATCTGATACCCATCATTTAAAAATAAATACATGAACAAACTCTTCCAGATTTAGAAATTTTACATTACTCCTGTTTCTCTGAACTTGTTTTTCCATTCCATTTTCTCTTGAGAAGTGTATCTTAATATAGTATTTTATCTTTTATCTGTCCTATTATATTTTTAAGAAAAGTGCACACTTAAATAGAAATTTAGTATTTTTAAAAATTCTGTGACAGGGCTCTAAATGTTGCATTTCTTCTTGATTGTTATCATTACAGTTATTTTTAGTACATAATTGACCAAAATAACTTTAATATTTAAAACTAAAATTTTGTTGAAAATGCATCATTTAATACGATAGATGGTACTTTTCTTTTCTTTTTACCTCTTGGGTAATTTGCTAAAATAAGACAGTTATTAAACATTAATTCTGTGCTTTTGTTTGTTTTTAGGATATAAACACTGAAAAACCTTTTTTATAAACAAGTAGATATAATGAAAGATATTTTATTATAGTAATGTCTCGATGTTTACGAACTTGTAAGATATGCCAAAATTAGGTATCATTTAAAAATTAAATTGTTTTTTTATGAAAATGTCAAGCATATACAAAAGTAGAGAAAAATAAAAAAAAAAGTCTCCATCATTTAGCTTCAACAGTTATTAGCTGATGACCAATAATATTTCATCTTTGCCACTTGCCACTTTTCCTCCACCTGGATTATTTTGAAGTGAATCACACCAGACATTATGTTATATCATCCATAAATATTTCAGTAGGTATCTCTGAAGGATGTGGACTCCTTTTTAGAACATTACGGTGCTATTATCACAGCTAATGTTAAGAAATTAATGTTTGGGAGCTGGCCCTGTTCCGTAGTGGTTAAGTTCAGCCCAGTCTGCTTTGATGGCCTGGGTTTGCTGGTTCGGATCCCGGGTGTGGATCATGTATACACCACTTGTCAGCCATGCTGTGGCAGCGACCCATGTATAAAGTGGAGGAGGATTGACAGATATGTTAGCTCAGGGCTAATCTTCCTCAAACAAAAAAAAGGAGGAAGATTGGTAACGGATGTTAGCTCAGAGTGAATCTTCCTCAGCAAAAAAAAAAATTAATGTTAATTTTTTTTTTTTTTACCGGATAGCACATGGTTTATATTTGTCTTGAGTCTCTGTCTTATTTTTTTTTAAACAACAGAAATTTATTTTCTCACAATTCTGGAGGCTAGAAGTCTGAGAACTTCAGTCTCTTTTAATTGACAGATTGTCCTTTTATCTTTCTCTTTTCCCTTGCTCCAGAGTTCGTGTCTTAACGACTAGAACATATTGACAAATTCTAATTGGTTGTAAATAATAATCATATATATTTTCTTACAAATTTGTTTGAAAGTATATTGACCTTGAAAACTGACATAGGTATCTTTCTATCCTCATTATCAAACCTTAGATGAGATTCTTTCTACTTTCCTTTCATAATTCTCAAGATCCTCACAACAAATCATTTCCTGCATCCTGTACTTCCTTGGGCCTTGCCTCCAGAGATATCTATTTGTTAAAAAATTTTTTTCCGGACCTGTATGAGGTATAGAACTACACCTATGATTTCAGTAGTGCAAAACTAAGCTTTCTAATAAAATAATGAATGTTTAAAAATCTTTATCAATTGTGTATTTGTGAAGCACTTAAAAATTCCATATTCCATTATAAACCAAATTATGGGCAAACTTTCCATTGTGTGAGTTATGAACCAAGTCAAATAGAAGCAATTTCAGCTTATTTGATGTTTGCTTTTTTCTTGTCACTAGTATTCACTAGCATGGGTGATTGGATCCTTAACATAGGCTTATGGCTAATAGTAAAAATGAATAGATCTTTAGTGACATTCGAATTGAAGGAAATAGTGTTTAAATAGTTTCTTATTGGGCGTATTTTTTCCTCCTACGTATCATGTCTGTAACTTAAAAATAATGACCAGTGGATGGCACTCTTGCCTTTTTACACAGTGATGTTAATTCTAATACTGTCCTCTGAAATAACATTCTGTACCAAAATATTCTATTTTTAGAAGACTATAGTCATGAACAAATATTCTTTCATTATATAGTAACCACTTTTGGAATAATTCTAAAGTTAGAAGGATCTGGACTTTTGGAATTAAACAGGAAGTACTACTTAGTTCTTTTCTTTTGCTCATCCTAAACTAACTCTGTCTAGGACAGCATTTTAAGGTCAATGTCTGATGTTCTTGGATGAAAATGTTCTTTCTGTAATACAATTAGTAAAAATTTTCCGAAGAATGAGTATATAAAAGTCATTCTGTTTTAAAATTTAAAAATAAAATGTCTTCTGTATCAGTGTTCAGAGTTACTTAAAAACACAAATAAATGTGTCTTTGCTGAGGGGGCCACATGTTGAACCCTGTCCTCCCTGCGTATCTCCAGCATATGGAGTACTATGCCTTGGTCCTCTGCTGTGGCATCTGAGCATTGCAAGCATCGAAATTTGTGACTAGTTCTTTTGTAGGAAGTTATTGCTGAGAAGACCTTAACTGTCTTCAGGGAAGACATGAGATATCCCACCTCTTCTAACAAGGTCTGAATTGTTGACAAACAGCTGAAACCCAGCTTTTAGCTCCATTTGTGCCTATTGTGTGTACCTCTCATGAACATAGCAAGAGATATTGAATATTTTGAGGATTTGTCTAAAATCCCTTTAGTTAACAGCACTGAAGTGTGTATGCATTAGAGGGGAATGATTAAATGGGATGGAGAAAGAGTTCTGAAAATAATATTTATATTTTGGCTTTCTTTTTTACAGATAATATTATATTTCTGAGTGACCAGACAAAAGAGAAGGCATAGATTGGATGATCTTCTTTGGCCATTGTTTGGTATAGTCTCATTTCCCAATCATGTATAGTCTTTATAGCTTCTAAGGACAAACATTAAAATAGTCTTTTATATAAAATGAGTGATAATATTTCTCCTAACTGTTGCTCCCCGTGCCTTTTCGTCTCATAAACATTGATAGCACTTGTCTGTTTCGCTAGTTGGTTATTCTTTTAAGGATGGACTCTGTGTACAAGTGTATAACATAGTGAACTTTCAGGTTCATCCGTGTCATGGCAAAGGGATAAATGCGCGTAGTAAGAAGACCCCTTGTTTTTCATGTGCACTTCTATTATAGTATTGACTCAGCCACTCAGTATTTATTGAAGATCACTTTATGTCAGGCATTTATCCCACTGTTGTAAATACTGATTTTCTTGTCTGTTTGCTCTGTATACTAGAAGGCAAGGACTGTGTCTGCTCTGTGTACCTGCACCTTAACCAGTGCTCGGCACAGAAGAGACACTTGGTAAATGTTGACATGTGAATGATTTCAGTGGAATATTAAGCTTTAGCTCAAATTGAAGGGAGTTGCTGAACAGTGGTTTGTATCTAACCTACATGGCTTCGGGACTAACCTACTTTCTTCACGCCTTTTGTTTTCGGAAACTTTCACTAGGAGCATTTATGAAATGGAGTTTACCAGCAGTAAAGACCTAAAATATAACTAGGGATAAAACACTTCATCTCCAGGTGATGACACAGAGGCTTTGGTTCCACTGTTCTCTGTCTTTCTAAGCCCCTATTCTCTATCCTTTTAGCCTCATCCAGAGCCCTTGGGGGAGTCCCCTAAACAATCTTTGACGTTGCCTCCCTAGGTTAGAGCCTCAGGTATGACGTTTCCTTTTATTTGTCCACATGGTCTCTTGATGCACATACACATACAGACCATTGTGTACACACAGTTGCTTCTGTTATAAGATTCTGAAAATTGCAGAGTTTATTATAATTTATTAATAAAGATTGCATAAAATAGACTCAGTTTTTCATTGCAGGTTTTACTTTTGAAAGTTTGCATCAGTTCTCCACTGGTCTGCCTGCTAGTTTGCTGCAGTGTTTTAGAGGTTGGCTGCTGCTGAGCAGGTTGTCCGGTTCAAATTGTAGAAGTTGCTTATTTTCTTGGGGCCACTTGGCTCCAGCTTGCCCTCTGGCCCAGCCTGTGTATTTGTGCCCCAGGCTGCGTGTCCTGTCCCTTGTGCCTGCGAGTTGGTGCTAACTGTAGCTTAGGTCATGCTAGACTTGAACAGGTTCAGAATTCAGAATTCACATGCTATGTTGTGGACCCTTGACTTTCCCTTTTAAGGTATTTTCTGCACACTTGAGCAACTTTTTGAACTTATAGTGCAGTTTGGTTAAGGAAAGATGGCATTCCTTAGCTTATCCTCTCTGCCCAGGAACAGTTTCAAATTGATTGCCATTTCCTCATATCAGCCATCTTTTTTTCTGCAGCTGGGACGCTAAGCAGCATAGAAACTCTGCTGTCTGAGTTCGCACATGAGACTGGTGATATAGTCCTCATGCCTTTATGCCACATTCCTTAAGCAAAATTGTTTAGAGTAGATAAAATTTATCTTTTGAGCAATGCTTGCTTTCTTTCCTCAGCAAAGCTATTTTTATAATTTTTAAAAGTTGTGAGAAGTTATGTGGATTAGTATTCTTGTTTAAACAAGGTGATGAATCTGTGCTTTGGGAAGATAATATGGTGCTTAATGACCAACCCAAAGCAATTCTGAGTCCAGGGTGCAGGGGCAGAAGAGTGTGTCCTACAGGGTCACCATAAGCTGAGGGGCTCTTCTCCAAACTCCCACTGAAGACTACCTGAAAGGCTCTGAGGCTGGGGCAGCAGAGCTTTTGGAGTACAGCATTCAGCACGGAGGCCTCAGCATGCGCATGATCCTGCAGACCCAGAGGTCCACAACGAGTCAGACTACAGGAGCAGAAACTGCCCTCCCCACCTAGGCAGCCCCATCTGAGAAATGTCCTACTGCTCCCCAGCTGGTCTGGGTAGAGAGCAGACGTGTGGAATCTGACAGCAGTAACAGACTGTAGGGGTCTTCTGGTCCAAGTTCTGTGTCCTGCATTTCCATTTTTTGTGTTGTGGTGTCGGAAATATACCTGCAGAAAACTGCCTTGTGACTTTGATTTTGGGATTCCATGTTAAGTGGAAAGATGAGTATGATATGTAGAAGTGTGGGCTAAAAAGTATCAAACAGCATGTGTGGTGTTACCCATTTTTGAAAAAGAAGTAATTGATACAAGTATGTGCCTAGAAAAGTCTGGAAGGAGAAGCATCAAAATGTTGTGATTATCTCTGGATAGGGAGGATTATGTATGATTTTCCTTATTTCTCTACACTTTCATATGTTCTAATATTTTTTTCTTAAGCATTGACCATGTATATCTTTTATAATAATAATAAAGAAATAAAGCTGTTCTCATTTTGGAAAAAAAAACTTTTATTTCCAAGCCAAGTTTGCTCTAATCATTCACCTTCAGCTGGTACCGCTTCATGTACTAGAGGTGAGCAAGACAATCTTTTATGTATTTTCCTCACCATCTGCATCTTAGGATCTCATGCTTAGATATTTTATTCACCTCCTTTTTTTCATTCACCTCTTAATCCATGTACACAACCTAGAACGACCAACTTTAAAGACTAACCCATATGAGATCTGTTTGCTGCCAATACAGTTCTCAGAGGGTCATCCATTTCTTAAATATCACTGGATGATTAATCCAAAGACATCCAAAACCACCAAAGACATGTTTCTGCAGCTGTTTTGGGGGTTACCTGTCATTGCCGACTAGGTTACAGCCTGACCTTTGCAGCTCAGATAGGAGAAATTAATGGTAGTTTCTCTTTGTTCCTAAAAGAGATCATGCAGTTCTTGAAGGCAGGGTGATCTTTTACTCAACTACCTTTTTGCCCCATCCAGCTTAGCTTAGCTAAATGTTTGCTGTTCTGTTGGATCACACTGAAACATTGATGTGAAAATGAGGGCAGCATTGCTTTACTTATTTTTCTGTCAGGGTTTGCATTATATGCCATGAAGATTGGTGGGAGTAACAGCAAGGAAATCATTGTAGAAAATGAGAGATAATCCCAAGGTTAGTGAGTTGTAGAGAAATCTCTTACAAGGTCATAATAATCATATTAGTGGCTGACGTTTACTCTGCACTTACCACATGCCAGGCGCTGAGCTAAGTGCTTTTTATCATCATCTCATCTAACTATTCCCCTGAGAAGAAGGTACTGTTGTCCCCATTTTGTAGGTGAGGAAACTTGAAACTGAGGGTCAGTAACATGTGAAAGTCATGCCACTTATAAGAGGCGCACTTGGAGTTTGAACGTAGCTATGTGGTTTGCGTTTTGCTTTCTGCCCACTGCCTGCTTCCCGCTGCTCTCCCACCCCCGTTGGCCCTACGTATCCGGAACCCCCACTGCTGACTTTGTGCTCCATGCAGGGTGCCTCTCATCACACTGGAGGTTAATACATAATAGGTTTTGGTTGTGGGGAGGATTACGAGTGAGGGAGAAATACCGCTACTTCCTTATTTTTTCTGATTCTCAGTGTGATGATCCTACAGGAAAATAAGTGACAATTAACTACTCTGCCTGCTTACCTTTACATATTCCTCTTGCTTCCTTTTCATCAGGCAGTGTCTCTTTACTGGTTAAAATAAGTTCAGTGTCTGCTCCTTTCACTGTTTCCTCCATTGTTTTCTTTTCTACTGAGAGTTGGAATTGTCAGGAAGATTGTTCAAGAATTTGTCAGGCTGACCTTCTAGAGGACGCAACTTTTGGCAAGTGTCATTGGCATTGAAGTCCCCTCTCACTGTCTGTGATAGGATGGTGTGTAGCTTTTTAGGCTAATGGAATCATGCAGCCACAATTAATGAAACTTCTCTTTTTCTCTCTACTCCTCATCCATTCGCTTTCTGCCATGCTTTGACCCTAGGGTCTTGTTTTTCCATACAGGTGTACCTCTTGACATTTTTTAGTCTTTCTGCCCCACCTGTCATTTGGAAGAAAGATGGTCCATCATGATAGTTCAGAGATTAGTCTGTGCAGTCAGACAGCCTGGATTTGAATCCTTGCTTCACTCACTAGCCAATAACCTCTGGTGACTTTCTTAATTTCCCCTGCCTTGGATTTTTGTTGTTTTGGTTTCCTATAAGTGAAACGGGGTAGTAGTAGTGCCTACTTTATAGACCAGCTGTCTATACATGTAGCTTCCTTAGCACAGAGTATCTGAATCAAGGGCTCAATTTGTTAGTGCCCTTGAGTTGATTCTAACTTCTAGTGACCCTGTGTACAGCAGAGCAGAGCCCTGCCTGGTCTTTGTGTTCCCTCCTTCCTGTGCTGCATCAGACAATGCTCTGCTGCTATTGATAGGGTTTTCATGACCAAAGTGGTTAATGCATATTGGCTGTCGTTACTGTTGTGGTTATTTTTTATTTTTTTCTTTTAAAGATTGACACCTGAGCTAACAACTGTTGCTAATCTTTTTTTTTATTCTGCTTTCTCTCCCTGTATCCCTCCAGTACATAGTTGTATATTTTAGTTGTGGGTCTTTCTAGTTGTGGAGTTGTGGTTATTTTAAACAAGGCATGTCACTTTTTCGGTTACCATGTGCATCTCACCAAGTCTCACGGGATCCTTGTGAGAGCATGTCACCTTTAGATTCGTTTATTGTACTTGACTTTTTTTGTTGTTGTTACTAACGTCCATGGATTATTGAGCACATATTCCACTTTGGTAGTGTTTTTTTGGGTTTGTTTTTAGTCTTCCATGGGTATTTACAATTAATCTGGGCATCTTTTGTTTTTCTTTTTAAGATTGGTACCTGAGCTGACATCTGTTGCCAGTCATTTTTTCTTTTCTTGTTCTCAAAGCCACCCAGTACATAGTTGTATATTCTTGGTTGTGCAGTGTAGGATGCTGCCTCAGCATGGCCTGTTGCACAGTGCCATGTCCATGCCCAGGATCCAAAGTGGTGAAACCCTGGGCTGCCAAAGTGGAATGGGAACTTAACCACTCGGCCACGGGGCCAGCCGCAATCTGGGCATCTTTTTAAACACAAAAGTCAGTTGGGCACCTGCTATGTGCCACACACCCATACAGCCCAGGATATAGGGATGAATATCACCGACTCCTGCATTGAAGGAGCTCACAGTTTAGGATGATGGGGTTTGCGCGGGAGGATAAGCAGGAACCTGTGCAGCTCAGTGTGATACGGTGTGAGGAGCACTCTAGTCATGGTAGAAATAAAGTCCCGTGGGGCACAGCAGAGAATAGTTCGGTTACTTTTCAGCAGAGAAAACAGCATGAGCAAAGGTTCAGAAAGTTAAAGGTGTATGAAGCAGTGAAAGATAAAATGTGAAAAGTGGGTTAGAGCTAGATTGTAAAGGGCCTTGAAAGCTGGAAGATGACTTTGGCAATGGGGAGCTCAAGAACGTTTTAAAACAGGGACATCTCATCAGAATTGTGCTTTAGAACAGCAAAGACAGGTGAAGGATTAGAAGGGGAACAGTCTGGAGGCAGTTAGGAAGCTACTGAACAAGCCTGAAAAGGTTAGTATAGTGGAGATGAGAGGTGACATGAGGGGCATTTCGGATTCACATTGATTCATTCATTGGGCACCAATTGTGTGCCAGATCCTGTGCTAGGCTCTGGGTTAGGGGTACTGAAGAGAAGAACACATAGCTCCTGCCCAGGATCTAGTGGTGATAGGGTGGGTTTGGGTAGTCAGGGAAAAGGCAGTTAAAAGAGGATTCTGAAGCTCCTGCTTGGGCAGCTGTGTGGATAGTGACGCTTTGTTTCTGAGACTAAGGAACACGGCTGTGGGAGTGATTTGAGAAGAGGAAACACAATGAGTTTGGTTTTGAACATAGTTTAATTGTAGACTTTCTAGCTTCTGTTTGGCAGGGCAATAATTAATGAATCTAGAACTCAGAAGAGAAATTGAGTGACTTTTTTTCTTCTGCCAAAACGTTGTAAGCAGATTTTGTGAGATAACTTTCAAATGTTGCCAGGATTCCCACTTTCTGTTGTGGAAAACCATATTGTGGGAAAGATTTCCAGTTGCCTGCCTGTTTTATGATGTACCTGGGATTTCTTTTATTCAGGTATGGTAAGATGTCAGACATGGAGACAGCTGCCTTTGAAGGAAGAGTATTACTTACAGTTCTCAGGACGGGGTCACACGCCACACCATGCAGGACCACACCACACCATGCACTACCACACAGGGAAGCACCAGGGTAGGTCAGGAGGCAGAGGGAGCTGAGGGAAAACATGGGCCAGAGCTTTTATTCTGGTTTTCATGGGGAAAGAACAGATGAGACAGGATAGACAAACTGAGCAAGTTTAGGATTGGAGAGTTTGAATAATTTTCAGGAGGCTCTGGACTATAGGGGTGGTGTCTAGTTGTCAGGTACCTGGCCCTAGGGTGATTTTGGGCAGAGGAATAGTGTCCTGGACTGCAGGAGCCTGATAAAAGGAGGCTAACGCGGGGTATAGACTCAGGATTGGGTTGGTTTGCATTTCAAAGGCATGTTCCTGGGTAAGTCATTTACTGTTGCTAGGAATTAGCTAAACTTGGGAGGCGGGCAGTCCCTCCCAGGATCTACAAGGCCCCTAGATGTCAAAGCATCATAAAATACAGAAAATAAGAAACGTGGTTAGTACACCACACAATATCCATTACCCCTTTTACATTTACAGAATCAGTATCTTACTGGAGGTGACAGTGTGAACAGCCAAAATACTGCATTCCTATTCTCCTTTGCAACTAAGGGGTTGTAAGCAGAAGTCGTTTGGTGGTGCTTCCAGGAAAGTTCCTTCAAAGATCTAACTGTGTTGGGAGGCTCATCCTTTGTGCTTCTCCAGATCCTCATCTGGTTTTTTCTTGTCTGAAATGTGGATGTGATGGCTGAATCTCCAGTAGCTATCTTGGACCATGAGATGATCTTCAGGATGGAAATCAGAAGAAGCTGGGATCTGTGATGACCGTGGAACCACCATACCTGTCCTGACAATCTGCCTCTAGAATTCTTTGAGAAACACAAATAAATCTCTACCTTGTTTAAGACACTTATTTGTACTTTGCATTTAAACCTAATCCTTACTAATTCACACATTCTTACCTTTATCTTGGTACACATGATCAACTCGTTATTCATCCTTTCTCTTATATGACCTTCCACCACAAGTAGGAGTAAAATCTTATCTCTGCTCCCATAGTGCTTCAGGCTTTTAATGTATGTCTCATTTTAAATTGGGGAGGGGACTGGGACATAAAATGTACCCCAAACCTTAGCAATTAGCCTTAAAAAGAGTGAATATAAGCACACTTTTTCATCACATAGTTATGAGGACCCTTAATTAACAGCATCATATTAGACAAAGGAGCACTGAGGATGAGAACAGCAGTATTGCCCTTACGCTTCCCCTGGCACTACAGCAGACTAGATAATCTGGAGTGAGGAGGCTTCATACTGCAAAATGACCAGATCCTAAGGACAACGTAGTTTTTATTGCATTATTGGTGTCTTGGCTCAGGCTGCCATAACAAAATACCTCAGACTGGGTAGCTTAAACAACAGGCATTTATTTTCTCACCATTCTGGAGGTTCAAGTCCAAGATCAAGGTGCCAACGTGGTTGGTTTCTGGTGAGGCTGATGTTCCTGGTTTGTAAGTGGCCATCTTTTCGTTGCGTGCTCACATGACCTCTTTGTGTGTGCTGACAGAGTGAGCTTTCTGGTGTATCTTTTTAGAAGAATACTAATCCTGTCATATCAGGACCCCACCCTTATGACTTCATTTAACTGTAGTTATCTCTTGAAATACAGTCATATTGGGGATTAGGGCTTCAACATGTGCATTTTGAGGGGACACAATTCAGCGCATAGCATTGGACGTGCAGGAAGAAAACGACATCTCCCAGTGACGAGTGTTAAACTAGGAGCTGAAACTAGAACAATATGTAGGCAACACACTGAAAAAAGGAGTTTCCCTAATAACGAGTGCTAATCTTGACATTGTAGTTTGGAAATAAAAACAAAGGATAGGTGTCAAAGGTGTGCCACAAACATTCTTGAAAGTAGAGCATTTCTCTTAAAACAGAAATAAGGCAAAGATGTCTTATCACCCCTTCTCTTCAACCTACTTGTGCTGAGGCTCTAGCAAGCTTAATTAGGAAAGAAAAGAAAAAGTATTAAGATCAGAAAAGAAGCAGCAAAGTTACAAATGCTATGATCACATAGAAAACAAAAGAATCTATAGATGAATAATTGAGCATTGCTGGAAATATGGTCAGTATACAAAAGTCAATTGCAAACAACAGGAAAGAAAATGTAACTTTAAGAAGATGCCATATGGGGCCGGCCCAGCGGTGTAGTGGTTAAGTTCTCCCACTCTGCTTCTGTGGCCCAGAGTTTGCAGGTTTGGATCCCAGTGCGGACTTGGCATCACTCGTCAAGCCACCTTGTGGCAGCATCCCACATGAAAAATCAAGGAAGATTGGTATAGATATTAGCTCAGGACCAATCATCCTTGAGCAAAAAGAGGAAAATTGGCTACAGATGTTAGCTAAGGGCCAATCTTCCTCAAACACACACACACAAATGCAGTATACAAGAGCATCAGAAAATGAAAGAAGTTTCCAAGTGTTTGGTCTCTCTGGAGGACATAAAACTTTATTGAAATACCTTAAAGGAAGACTAAACACATTGGTACACCATGTTTATTTATTGGAAGCATCAATAATGTAAAGATGTCAACCCTCCTCAAATTGATGTTACAGATCAAAACAAATAAGAATTCCCAGCAGTCTTTTGGGGGAACTGGACAAGTTGATTCTAAAGATGTATTGATAAGCAAAGGTCGAAGAACAGACAACATAACCCTGAAGTAGAACAATAAAATGGGGACTTGCTCTGCCAGTTGGCAAAGCTTGTTTTTAAAAGAGATAAAGCTATAGTGATAAATGAAATATACTGTGGATGTAGGAATAAACAAATAGAACAGTGATGTAGAATAGAAAACCCAGAAACTGACCATGCATATATGGAAATGCTATTTGGTAAAAGTGACATTACAGATGAGTGAATAAAGTGTAGATTATTCAATAAATGATTCTAGGAAAAGTCATTCATACAGAAAGAAATGAAATTGGATCTCTACCTTAAGCCTTATGCAAAAATCAACTCTTGGTTAAAGACATTTATGAAAGGCAAAACTTTAAAAATTTTGGAAGGAGATACAGGACAACGTCTATGATTTAGGGCATGGAAGCTTTTTATTTAAACAAAAATGTAAATATAGAAAATACTAATAAAGTTAACAAAAAATAGCCTATGTTTATCAAAAGTCACCATAAAGAAAGCAAAATGACGGGGCTGGCCCCGTGGCCGAGTAGTTAAGTTCATGTGCTCCGCTTTGGCGGCCTGGGGTTTCACTGGTTGAAGTCCTGGGCCTGGACATGGCACTGCTCATCAGGCCATGCTGAGGCAGCATACCACGTGCTGCAGCTGGAGGGACCGACAAGTAAAAATACACAATTTTGGGGCTTTGGGGAGAAAAAGGAAAAATAAAATCTTTAAAAAAAAAAGCAAAATGACAAGTCTTAAACTGGGAAGGAAGATATTTGCAATAATATAACTGAAATACAATCTAGAATATATAAAGCCCTACAAAGCATTAAAAAACAGCAGCTTAGTAGGAAAATGAGCAAAGACACAGAGGCATTTCACAGAGATGAAAATATAAATGATCCATTGATACATGAAAAAATGGTCGACCTCATTAATAATTAAGGAAACGCAACCCAGAAACTACAATGAAATTTTATTTTAATCCCTCCACACTGGCATGTTTCAAAATATTTGATAGAACAAAGTGTGAGAGAGGATGTTGTAGACCAATGGAAACTCCTATGCACTGGTGAAGGAAGTCTAAATTGGTACAGGTGTAGAGGGTCAGGGCCTTGCATACTTAGCACACTCAGCAAGATGTTCAGGAGTACAAGAGACCACTGGAGGAATGTCTCTCCCCACAGTGTCTGGTAGGAAAATACTGGATGGACATTTTTGGGTAACATTATGACAAGATAGGGCCTGTAGCTTGTGCTATTGGCTTAGAAGCATGATATTGAAAACATCTAGGTACCAGACACTTGTTCTGTTTTTGTCAAACAAAGTTTTATCAGTTTGGGGGATGGAACTGAAGGTAATAAAAGAGGCCCTTGTTCACTTTGAGTGGACCATGCTCTACAGTGCTGGGTAGTGGGCCTGTATACAGTATAAGAGCAAGATTGGTAAGATGCACCTCATCCAGATTGGCCACATGCAGAATGTATATATCAATATACAGTTTGAGGGTGGGCCTTCAGGACAAAATGCTGACTTAGTCAGACTTGTTACTTGCCATTGTGCATTCCCCAGGTAGGGATTTTAAGGGACTTGGAAGCCTGCATCCACTTACCTTTGTATATATTGCTGATCTCTCTGCTGTGTATGCCTGACTGTGCTGATTTCCTTCTGTATTCTTCAGATTAGTAAACCTTGGTGGATATAAATGGATGTTATCTATGACTTGTCTTGATGTCAGTCTGAGTGAACTGCTGATGTTGATCAGCACAGCTGTCATGCAGATTAGTATCAGAAGCAGGAATGATGTGAAGACCTAGACCATGATGTCTAAGTCCCTGTGGAGAAAGTGCCAGAATAATGAAGGGTAGAAGATAATATTGGAATGACTTGTTAGTCTGCTGACCTGTGTTTTGAGGTTTGTTCTTTCGGCCCACGGTCTTTAGGCTCTCCCAACTGAAAAATCTCAGCTACTGTCAGGAGGTCCCCTCCACACAGTGTGCTCTCTCTCAGTGTTATGGTGGTATGGTGCCCCACTGTTCCTAGCCCTGAGGTACTGCACTTTTTATAATTTCCCTATACTCTGTCCACACTTTTGTAAATAATCCTTTTTTAAAATTCTTCTAGAATTAACCATTTTTGCCAATGGTTTCCTGCCAAGGCTCTGACTGTTACACTTACTTTGGTCTTTCACTCAAAAGAATGATTGAGAGCAAGAATGTGATCTCTCAGTAGTCTTTCTAGATGCCTGCAGCCCGGGAGGAAAGATCCATGGATCCAATACCACGGCTCTGGTATTTAGCCCTCCAACAGACCATGTTTAAAGCTGCAGGCTTTATAGAGTTGGCCTTGGAATATATGTGGTTGGTTTGGTGGACAATGGTCAACATCCATTTTGGAAGCAGCCATTACTAATGCTATGATATTAGTTATAGTATGATAGTTTTAGTATTTATGTTAAGAAGTGGCAATGGTATAACTATGGCCACATAATTCACATCAGTGGTACCTGATGGAATAAGGGCAATGATAATCCAACAAAGTCATTTGGGAAATTGAACTCTGATTACCAGCTAAAGTGGTATACATGGAAACACACTGTCCTGGGAAAGACTCAAACATGAGAAAGAAAAATTACAGTCAATCCTAAATTACTCAACAACAACTTATAAAATGGTACAAGTTCTAGTTTTGGAGGGGGTAAAAGTAATAGGGCTAGTAAAAAAAGTATGATCAAACATGAAATGGTATGTGAAATGCATTCTGATATGTTGTGTATTCTAAACTTTCTCCTCATTGGATAATTCTAATACATAGGTAGAGGAATCTTATTAGTGTATTTCTTCTTATGAGGGGATGTAAAAGTTGTTACAAGAACAAAAATCTGAATCTATAGAACGGAAGCCATGAGAAAAACACTGAACAGGGTTGGTGGTAGGTTGCAGGGTCAGCCCTACAACTGGTCTAAGGTCCTGTTATAGGACTCCCAGATGCAGCTGGGAGCTGGCCTTATTCTAATTCCATAGCAGAGTTCAGGAAGCATTTGGGTCAGGTTAAGTTAGCCTGAGAAAGCTGAGGGTGATTAAGGAGGACTGTGTTTATGCCCAAGTATATTCTGTAGTGCTCTGTAATCATATTGTACACCACATAATGCCAAGATGGATGAGGTTCACCTGGCTCAGGTGAGTGGCTCCTTGGCATGTATCCAGAAGAGATTATATATCATTCATTCAGATTTATCACCTGCACTCTTGTGAGATTCTTTTGAGAGGATCTAAAAGCATATCCCTCTGTCTGTTATTGGATAATATTGCTGAACTCTCTGCTTTGTATCTTAATGGCATTGATTTCTCTCTCCATCCTTCACATCAGTGTTTCCAAACAGTTTCTACTGCAACTCATTAGCAGGTTGTAAAGTCAAGTTTCTGACACGCAAGCAGCATTGAAAGAAATGGAACAGAGAGAAAATTTTAGAGTGCCACACATGTAAAAAGGGGAAATATGGTTTTGTGAAACCTTTGTGTTCCCCTTATAATATGTATATATTATCTACATATATTTAGATTGTGATGTATATATACATGTATATGTTCTTGTATATATAGTAATATATATAAAACTATAAAAAGTATTGCTGTTGGTCATGGTCAAAATTTGTAAGGCATTGTTTTAGATAAATTAGCCTTCTTTGGTTGACAGATGGTGTCTGTGTGTGATTTCTGTTAGCCTGAACTTCTATTGGCATATCAATACAGTGGCCATGCACTCTGAAAAATCCATATTTTGAAGTTTATATGCTATACTTCATTATTGTTATTCAAATATTCAGGTAGTTAAGAATTGACTGATATGATATGGCTCACTAGGGAAGAACCTGGAGCCCCTCATGTAAGGCTTACTTTAAGGGGTATACCTTTTAATTCTAATCTAAGACCAGTGACACTCAACCTTCCTCCGGGGTGACTTTGATAGTGCCTTTTGGTAGAATTCCCCCCTTTCTGTTTGTGTCCCTGAGTTCATTCCTGAGGAATGAGACTTGTCACTCTTCTGAGTTATTCTGTGTGACTGTTTTAGTGACACACCTTTCTGTTCCGGGTGGCTCAGAACCCTACTCCCTTTGAAACTGAGTCCAAATCCTCCATCGTCTTTATGACTCAAATCTCTTCCTTCCCTGTGTGACACTGGACACTATTATATTTGCATTTTAGCAAAGAGCTGCTGAGTTTAGATCCTAGATGGAATCTGACAATCCATGTCATCTGTGAAGAGGACAGACTAACCTGAGAGAGCCAGAGAGGGGTCACTAAACTGTGCTCTACAACAGACTAAATTGGGCAGAGACAAGAGACAGTACAGTGAAACAACAGGTAGATGTGACAGATTCATGGAGAGAAACTTCAAATCAGCAAGGAGATTGTACATCAAAAGAAAGAAGAAAGATCAGGTCTGCCTAATAGCTGATATGTTGGGACTCACTGAGTGGGTGTTTCTGGTTCTATCTGCCACTCAGTTCCTTCTGGGAATGCTGGGGAATGGTTTTATAGAGTTGGTCAATGGCAGCAGCTGGTTCAAGAACAAGAGAATCTCTTTGTCTGACTTCATCATCACTAACCTGGCTCTCTCCAGGATCGTTCTGCTGTGGGTTCTCTTGGTTGATGGTGTTTTAATGGTGTTCTCTTCCAAAGTACGTGAGGAAAGGATAGTAATGCAAATTATTTATGTTTCCTGGACATTTACAAACCATCTGAGTATTTGGCTTGCCACCTGTCTCAGTGTCCTCTACTGCCTGAAAATTGCCAGTTTCTCCCACCCTACATTCCTCTGGCTCAAGTGGAGAGTTTCCAGAGTCGTCATATGGATGCTCTTGGGTGCGCTGCTCTTATCATGTGGCAGTGCCGTGTCTCTGACCCATGGATTTAAGATTTATTCTGTTTTCCGTGGAATCAATGGCACAAGGAATGTGACTGAGCACTTTAAAAAGAGAAATGAATATGGATTGATCCATGTTCTTTGGACTCTGTGGAACCTCCCTCCGTTAATTGTGTCTCTGGCCTCCTACTTTCTGCTCATCCTCTCCCTGGGAAGGCACATGTGGCAGATGCAGCAAAATGGTACCAGTGCCGGAAATCTAAGCACTGAAGCTCACAAGAGGGCCATCAAAATCATCCTCTCCTTCCTCTTTCTCTTCCTACTTTACTTTCTTGCCTTTATAATTACAACAGCCAGTGATTTCCTACCAGGAACTAAGATGGTTAAGATGATTGGAGAAATAATTACAATGTTTTATCCTGCTGGCCACTCATTTATTCTCATTCTGGGAAACAGCAAGCTGAAGCAGATGTTTGTGGAGATGCTCTGGTGTAAGCCTGGTCATCTGAAGTCTGGATCCAAGGGCTCCTTTTCCCCATAGAGCTGCAGAAGGCACAGGAGGGAGCCTGGGAGTCCTTCGGCCTGGCTCAAGACTACAGGGCTCTTCCTTACCCTCCGGGGCACCAGTTCTGTAATATCAGTAGGAGAGAGACAATACTGTTTTGCCCTGTCCCACCTGAGGACACTTCACATGACTTGTCTTTCTCTGGTTGTTTCAGAGAGGGTGAAACAGTCTTTGGAAAATGTCAATTTAATAAGGACTGATACTATATAGACATGGAGTTATATTTTAATAACTATCAGCTTGACATAATGAGCTGATTACTACCTTTAAACTAAAGTTTTTACTGACAGTGATAAGCTGATGTAAATAAAACAGTGTAGGGGACTTGAGGGAAAGAGCAAAAGCATTGCAATTCCACAGTCTTGGGTTTGAATTCTGGTTCTGTCCATTTTCCAAGACTTGTGGCCTTAGGTGAATTACTTAAATTATCTGTCTGCTTCTCTCTTCCCTCGTTTTGAAATGCGAACTATGACATTGACCTCACAGGGTTTTAGAGATTCGTGAGACAAGGTGTGCCAACATTTTAGCACAGCATATTGTATAATAGGTGAAGATATTGTTGTAACTGACAGTGAATTGCACAGCAACAGCAATTCCCACAAGACAGCAGTTTCCACAAATCTACTGTGTAATGACAAGAGCAGCGGAGTGAAAATCAAGACCCTTTGATAGAACTAGGTTCCAATCCAGTCTGTGGTTAAGTCATTTTACCTCAATTTCAATAGTTCTTAAATTCTTTGTCATTTTGCTGAAGCAAATTTTCAAGTAATTTTTAGTTTTTCAGATTGGCCAGAAGTCCAAGTGTTTTTTTTTTTAAGTAACCAAGATGCATATCTGCCTTTAAAATCTCAGAGTTTTATAAAAAAAATAATTTAAGCAGTTTTTATAAGTTTATTTTAAAAAAATTACATGGGTGTTGATTTACTTCCTATCACTGAACAGTGGTGACAAGTCAGTGAGAATATTATTGCTTAAGATCATGAAGAATTCTCAAACTTGTGAACATATTCAGTTAGGACACATAGAAATTCTGAATCTGGATTTCTGTCACTAATGGGGCTCTCAGGTGTAGAGTTTTGTGGCTAAAAATGTGGACCCTGAAGCCAGATAGCCTGGGTGCAAACCCTGACTCCAGCCCTTATGAACTGGGTGAACTTGGGGAAGTTTCTCAACCTCTCTTTGTTTTATTTTCCTGATTTTTAAAATGGGAATAATAATAGTATTTTGTTAATAGGGCTGTTGGAAGGAATGAGTGAATTAGCACATGAAAAATGCTTAGAGTTTCACATAGAGTAACCAACCAATAAATGTTACTATTATTATTATTGTCTTGTTTTGTGAAAGGGGTTATATTTTGACATAGCATGAAGGATCACTACGTTACTTGGAATTTGGTCATATGTAACCAGAAATTAATTTTAGAATTGTTCTGGGATTTATATATTCATTTCTAAAATTAAAGGAATAAAATATCTTTTGGTCTGCATTGTTTGCTTTCAGATTGATCCTTGTTTTTGAAGCTTCTAGGAAAATTCCTGATTCTGACATAAGTTAAAATTCTCTTTCAAAAAGATATCTGTTGAGGGGCCGGCCCGGTGGCGCAGCGGTTAAGTTCGCACGTTCCGCTTCTCGGCAGCCCGGGGTTCGCTGGTTCGGATCCCGGGTGCGGACATGGCACTGCTTGGCAGCCATGCTGTGGTAGGCGTCCCACGTATAAACTAGAGGAAGATGGGCACGGATGTTAGCTCAGACCCAGGCTTCCTCAGCAAATAGAGGAGGACTGGCAGTAGTTAGCTGAGGGCTAATCTTACCCCCCCAAAAAAACAAAACAAACAAACAAACAAAAAAAGATATCTGTTGAAACTTAAAAGAATGATTTAATATTCATTTATAATTTAGTAAAATATAAGGAATCTGCATGGGTACTTTTGTAATTAATAAAAACTTGTGCTTTTTTCAGCACAGGGCAGTTTAACTATGGAAATCCATGCTGTCTCAATTGGCATCTACTTTGTTAACCCTGACCCCTGCTCTTGAATTCATCCTCACCCACTTTTGAACACTTGTTCCTACATTCTGTCACTTGGACAACTTCTCTTCCTAGCTCTGACCTTCTGGTTCTTCAGCCCTTGCCTGAGTTCCTGATTCTGCCTTCTGCTTTAGGTGTGGGGATTTCTTCTCTTAATTGAACATAACAATTTTCCTAGAGATTTTGGCTTGGCTGTTGTATGGTTCTTGGTCCCTTTGGCTATCTTCTGAAGGATCCCTCCCTTCTCTTTCCACCGTGGCTCCATTAAATCCTACCCCGACCTAACAGATTTAGCTATGGTGCAGTGAACATACTAAAGTTACCACTGCTGGTCATTCTACTGGAACCCAGAGTGTGGGTGGAAAATGTAGCATTTCCTGAGTGGAAGTCTGTTTTAGTCCCATTGGCTGAGAGCAGTTACCTTCCCTGAAAGTAAGTGAAATCACATTCATAGGTGTGGCATCCCCACCCCATCTTGATTCCTATTTCAGAGAAGTTTGGAGGCAACTCTTGGAAAATCTCAGACTTTTTATGTGACTTCAGCCATGTGTGGACTGCCATTAATCAAAGTTAGGGGTGGGAGTGGGGACATGGATCTGAGTGGAAAAAGAGTCTCACCTGTTGCTAAAGGCGCAGTGATGGGAAGTTCAGCAATTTTGGAGAAGATATGGTTTTCTAAATCCACCGGGGGGAATACCTCATCTGCCAGCTCCCCACTGGGTCCCAGGGCATGGGGAAGAATTACCTAATGCTTCAGTCCAAGTTTTGAGAAACCCAAAGGGGCCATCTTGTTTGTTTTGTTTAGCTTTCAATGAATTAATTTTAATTGCTAAATGCCTTAGGACTCTTCAGTCTAGTTGTTTCATGGATAAGGGACCAGAGCATGCTTTCACCTACTATGACCAGGCACCTTGGGTCAAAGTATGGGGATGAGAATTGTCCCTGCATTTAGAGTCCAATTATATGCTTAAAGCTTGTTCCCAAGGTCACATGTCTCCTCCAAACACATCTATTCTTTGGTGTACTGCTGGGGACTTTAACACATGAATTAACAGCAAATCATGACAGATGCCCATGAGACCTTCCAAGTTTCCATCAGGGGCCCCTATGTTCTATCTCTCACAGTACTACTTCTCATTTTTAGCGCTCTCTGACTTCTTGGACCAAGTTCACAGATTCTGACACTTAATGAGATTGAACTGTAGTTTGGGTCCAGGAGCATTATAAATGAAAAAACAAACAACAAAACCAAAAAAATCCCCCAAATTACATTCCAACACTTCTCAGTTTCAGTGCTTACCAGCACTTTTTGTCTTATACAATACTCACAATTTTCCCCAACTATTGATGAACAGGGCTATCTAGAGGATCTTAAGTTGTGTTTGTGATTTTCTTGACTTGGGATAAGTGGAAAGGAAAGTCAATGTTATCTGTTCATATTCTGCAAGAAGTTACACAGAACTGTAACTAAAGCATTACTGTGTATCTGGTACCAGAGTAGTTTGATTGACAGTTAAATGCCTAAGAGGAAATAGCCATGTGTGATCTAAGCATAAATGCAAATCTATAAAGGAAACTCATGAAAGGGCTGACATTTCTTTTCCAAGCAAAAGCAGATCACAGCAAATGATTATGGCACAAATCCATATATATTGCTGGTGAGGGAATGCAAAGTAAAGAAATCATCATGAAAGGGTGGAATTAATTGAAAAAGGCTTTCTCAAGGAAGTGTGAGGTCCTTGAACTTGATTTATTAGATAACAGTAAATCACTGTAGGTGCTAAGAGATGAAAGAGTAACATTGGCATGACCAGAACGACAGATGGAGAAAATGGCTGCAACATCAACAGAGGGGATAGAGAAGTTGGATTCGGGTAATCCGTGGATGTGTGGATGGAGGGGGAGTGGGTAGGAATGAGGCATGGAAATCCCCACCATATTCTGGGGTTGCTATGAAGAAAAGTTGCATTCCCTGTGAAAGAGTGACAGAAACAATGCTGTACTGGCACACTATCATTTGGATTAGAAGTCATTGGAGCCTGCCGTAACTCCTCCATCCAGCTCTCTTTCTCTTGAAGGAGTGGACTCCCAGGTTCACCTAGGCTGTTTAAATTAGGCATTTCTAAGGAAAGTGGATATGAATGTAGAAATAGTAATGCAATCCTTGGAAATTTGCATCTCAGTAAAAGCAGCTGGCTCTTAGCTCACTAATAGCTCATTTGCTACACTGGGGAAAATTAAAAAGGAAATGTCCTTCCTGGCTGGGTATGGTGCCTACTAGTATATTTCAGTATTTCTCCTGCTCCCAGCATCAGCACCACAGCTACTGAATGCTCAATGAGTAAAGATGCTTCGGATATTTTTTATCTGTTCTGTTATTGTCTCAGTAATTTTGACCTGTGTAGGACTCATTGTGAACCTGTTTATTGCAGTAGTCAATTATAAGACTTGGGTCAAAAGCCACAGAATCTCCTCTTCTGATAGGATCCTGTTCAGCTTGGGCATCACCAGATTTCTTATGCTGGGAATTCTTCTACTGAATAATGTCTACATCAACTCTCTGAAAGTTGAAAGGTCAGTCTACTTATCCACTTTTTTCCTGTTGTGTTGGATATTTTTGGACTCTAATAGTCTCTGGTCTGTAACCTTGCTCAACGCCTTGTACTGTGTGAAGATTACTAACTTCCAACACTCCATGTTTCTCCTGCTGAAACGAAATCTCTCCCCAATGATCCCCAGGCTACAGCTGGCCTGTGTGCTGATTTCTGCCTTCACCACTCTCCTGTATGTTTTGCTCAGACAGACATCACCCGTCCCTGAATTTGTGACTGGGAGAAACAGCACAGTATTTAACATCAATGAGGGCGTCTTGTTTTTGGTGACCTCTTTGGTCTCGAGCTCATTTCTCCAGTTCATGATTAATGTGACGTCTGCTTCCTTGTTAATAAATTCCTTGAGGAGACATATACAGAAGATGCAGAGAAATGCCACTGGCTTTTGGAATCCCCAGACTGAAGCTCATGTGGGTGCAATGAAGCTGATGATCTGTTTCCTCATCCTCTACATTCCATATTCAGTTGCTGCCCTACTCCATTATGTCCCTTCTTCTGTAGGGATGAATTTAGGAGCCAGATCCATTTGTGTGATTGTTTCCGCCTTATACCCTCCAGGACATTCTGTTCTTATTATTCTCACACATCGTAAACTGAAAACAAAAGCAAAGAAGATTCTTTGTTTCAACAAATGGTGGAATTTCAGTAGTAAATAGTGGCTGGAGTCACCTTATGGTTTGGCAGCAAGATTTTCTCTATTAGTACTTTTCCCAGTGGTCTGAGGCTTTCATTTCTGTAATTGCTGATCTGACTTTCCAGGCCTCTGAGCACCTGTATTTCAGTTCATTCTCCAATTTCTTTTTCTGCTAATATTTTAAAATTAGGCACTTTCTCAAAGGAACTTGTTTGAGGCATTGCTTGCCTTGTATTTTGCATGGGTGTTGCACCCCTGGATAATAGAGATCACGTTGTTTAATTGACTACTGAAATATAATGGGAAGTTCCCCCAAATTAAGCAAGACATTATGGTTCATATCATTAATTTAGCTGAGAAGTCCTAGGTAGGGGCTCAGCAAATGGGTAAATGGTCATTGGGAGTCACTAGACATCCTTAAAGCACAGCAAGAGAGCACAAAAAGAAAAGGAAAAAAAGTTTCGCAGAGAAGAGGGAGGGAAGAGAAAGTTGAAAGGAAATAGGTATACACTGTGGCAGATGTACAGAAAAAGGGTGCTCAACTTGCTGGGTGATAGTTACTGAGCTATTACTACCAAGAAACTCTAGGATTGAATTTCTAGGTTTGTCCTGGAAAGATGGGAAGGGCCAGAGTTGTTGGTTGGAGGGAAGTGATTAGTGTTAAAGAAGCCCAATCCAGGATGGCTTCAAGGATCTTAAAATCCAGGGAACTAGCCTAAGGTCAAAAGCAAGTGCCAAATAGTAAAATTAACACAGTCTAAGTGCAACTTTGTAAAAGATTGTACCTCATCATCTGATATGGAATTTGGTGGACAGCCAAGAGGTGTCACTGGACCGGTAGCGTCACACTTTTGGTGAATTTATGTCATCTATTTATAAACTTATGCATTGAGTTGTATTGGCACTGCCCAATTCTCCAGGTGAATTCTGTTTGTTTGTTTGTTATTTTTGAGCTGGGGCAGTAGGGCTATGGCTAGAGAGGAGCAGGAATCTGAAGATGGAATATTGTAAGGACAACAGCAGCAGAAGGGGCACAGACTGCACACCATCCTCCCTGAGTTGAGTGGGGTGGGTGTGGACTCAGTCTTCTGTGGGAGCACCAGTAGTAACATTGTGTCAGAACAGCTGGATTGTTCTCTGGATTATAGCGGTGGGGTATATATGGTCTGGGAAAAGGCCTCACTGTAACTCTGTGTCAGTAGGAAGGAGCAAGAGGCCCTGGGTCACTGACTCAGTGGGTGCACAGCTTGCTTGCAAATGAGGTGTGTACATACAGGTACATACTTGACTTGTTTGATAACATTTCTGACCTATTTTAAATAAAGGGAAATTATTTGTCTCAATTTTTCTGCTTTCCTAGTTGGGACAGTGACTGTATAATGATAATCTGAATCCAGGTATCTTAAGAAGAAGTAAATATATTGATATTACTCAGAAAATCTCTCTCTTTCAGTCCCACCTATCCCTCTATATCTTTGACTTCTGTGTGTGTTTTTAAAGGCCTGGGATAATCAGTCTCCCATCTTTATTCTTGCTTTCCAGAAATTCTGGAATTGTACAGAGCTGATCACCTTTCTTTAGAAGCAGTAACTCAATTCATCCTAGATTTGCCTACTGTGAATAATAGCAGATTTTAGAAACTTTCCTACTTTATTGAAATGAGTGATTATGGAGAGAAATCACCCAGGAAGGAAAGAAAAATAACATTAATTAGCTAATACTATTTTCTAAGTACAGGCTAAATAATTTCATATGTCCTTTTATCATCACAATAGCCTGTGAGGTAAACGTTATTATCATAATTTTTACAAAGAGGAACCTGAAGATCTGAGAAGTTAAATGAGTTATCTGAGGACACAACCACTAACTGGTTGAGTTGGGAGGCAAAAGCAAAGCCTGACTTGGAAGCACATTAACTTTCTATGAATGGCCACAGTGCCCCATTTATAAATTCCCCTTCCAGGGAGCCAGTCGTGATGTCTGTGTCCTGTTGAGGGCTGGTGCTAGCATGGACCCTTGAGTACTTTGCTTTGGATGGGCAGCTATCCAGAAAGCCTTGTCTGCCATCTCTGTTGCTTGACTCTTAGTGTGATCTTGTAATATTATGGGAAAACCACATTCTCCTCTGGAAAAACACAATTCTCAAATTGTTAAAAACATAATTTTTATACAGACAGCCTTATGTAACTGAGTTTTATATACCTTTTCAAAAGTAAAGTTTTAATTTTTTATTTTACTTTATTTTACAGAAAATTTGCAAAGGGAGTAGAGAGTTCTCATATTTCCCTCACTCAGTTTTCCTGATGTTAATATCTCACGTAACATGGTACATTTGTTAAAACTGAGAAACTAGCATAGATACAGTAACTTTAACTAAGCTACGGACTTTATTCAGATTTTACCAGTTTTCCCCACTCCTGTTCTTTTTCTCTCCAGGATCCAATCTAGAATATCACATTGCTTTTAGTTCTCGAGTATTCTTTGTCTCTTCTGATCTGTGATGTTTTTCAATCTTTCCTTCTTTTTCATGACCTTGACAGTTTTAAAGATTACTGTTCAGGCATTTTGTAAAATGTCCCTCAGTCTGGGTTTGTCTGATGTTTTTCTCATAGTTAGACCGAGGTTATGAGCCTTTGGGGAAGAGTACAACAGAGGTGAAATGCCCTTCTCATCATGTCACATGAGGGGTGCATGATATCTTTATGACTTATCACTCATTGTGTTAACTGTGATTGTTTGGTTAAGGCAGTGTCTCCCAGGTCCCTCCACTGTCCATTTACTCTGTTTCCTTTTCCAGACTCTCTTGTTTAGAAGTAAGTCTCTAAGTCCACTCACTGTCAAGGGAGGGGGAATTAAGCCCTGCTTCCTAGAGGGTCTCCCAAATTTTGTCTGTTGTACGTCTCTCTCCTCCCAAATTTTTGTACTCATGGAGGCAGACAGAAATAGCTCCTGCTTTCATCTGCCAAGTCCCCTCACTCCATTCACCTTTTCTACTCCAGCAATGCTGCTGAAGCTTGTCATGTTCTTCCTCAAAGACTGTGATCCTTGCTGCCTGCAGGCCATGGAGGACATAGTTGGGCACTTCCTCCTCCCTCCAAATACCTGAATTCCAGTCCCCAAGAGGCGGTACCGACCCAGTGAGCAAGAACCCCACCCCTTCATAAGGTGGTGGGGAAAGAAGCCACAAAAACTATGAATATATGCACATTTATAATTTTTGTTCCTGTTACACCTGCTTGTTAACAATGTGCTTAATCTGCTCAATTTCTGAATTTCTGGACTCATACAGCGCTTTAAGAGAAAAATTAGTTTGCTCAGGTTAACAGCTGCTACAGAAGGGTGCCATCTTGTAGTAATGCAGGCACAGTTCTGGGAAGCATTGAAAAAGGCTGCCTGTGTACAGGAAAACAAAATGTTTGAGTCACTGAGATATGTCAGATGTAGAATAAGGGACGTAGCTATACTTGGTCTGCAACTTGGTTGAGGGAGGGCATTTTTGGGGTGAAAGTGTCAGACCCGAGTCTTTGAAACCGAAATACCTTAGCTACTTAAATCCCTTAGTTACTTCTTCCTCCTTTACGTGGCTTTTTATGCCTTGGTTAGGCTCTCTCCTCTCATCTCCAACTCTTCCCTCTCTGAGTTCACCACTGTTTCGTCTCTAAGACACTCACCGCTGCCTATACTTCTGTCCATTCTATCATAATGGTCATGAGCAATTCGACTTGGAGAATTCTGTGGAAGGTGGACAATTCTTGGAGATCCTAGAGGCCACGACATGGGAGAAAGACCTAGTCAGCCCTGGCTCTAGATAATTGCCAGCAGTAAAATTAATTTAGTGTAAGATTAATTAGGTTTTTGTTCTCAGTTTTTCTTCTCATTTCTTCCTTGATTTTGAAATAAAATAAGAGAGTAACATGAGAAACAATAGAAATCAGAGCTACTGCTCTCTAAGCAATGCAAAGTGCATTATTTTAATAAACTCTGGAAGTCTAAACTGAATTTTCATGTTTTGCATGGAAAGTATCATGTTTTTCTAAATTACTGCAGGTAATCTAATTTTCTTTGCCAATACACTAACTATGTCTCCCCTAATAAAAGGAAGCAGAAAATAACTATAATTTTGAAATAACATGTGTTAAAATAAAAGATGAACCTGTGCGTTAATTGCTAAACACTTTTTAGGCACGCATTTTTCTTATTGGAACTAACTAATATCTCAGTTCCCTATGTGGTTTAGCCTTTCTTAATGCCAGTAGTAAAGTTGTCTGTCCAGAGACCAGCTTTATATTTCTGGCAATTCTTTTTTCTTTTTGAGGCCAGACTAGGCTTTCTGAATATGCATCAGTTGGCTACCATGTTCTGTATGGAGTTCCACTGCCCAGGACCTAGAGTAGGGCAGGGTGGGAAAGAGGGGCAGTTATGTCTGCTATCAGAAAGTCTCCACAGAAACCCTGCTCTTGGAGAGGTTCATGCCTCATTCGGGTTTTCTGGCCAGTGGCAGACTGTGACCTTCTCCTCTCCCTCTGCACTGCTGCAGCTGGAGTTTTCAGGTGCCAGGTCTTGTAGTTGGGTGGAGATGATGTAGAATGTATGCTCCCTGGCAGCAAGGGCTGTGCGTTGCTCCCCGCTGTGTTCCTGTGCGTGGTACACTGCCTGGCACGTAATAAGCACTCTGTAAATCTAGTCCTACAATCCCATTGTATTATTAGTAGAGCAATTGAGGCCCAGAGAGGGCAGTGGTTTGCCTGCGTTTTCACAGAGCACCTGATGTAGTGCTGGGCCCAGACTCTGGGGCTCCTAACCTCTGGTACAGAACTCTTTCCTCCACACCCATGCTACCTCCCTAAGAATCTCGCCTCACCTCTCTCCTTCTTTCTAAGCAAATTTCTCTTTCTAGCCTGGTTTGAATATTGTATTGTTTTTCTGTTTTCTGTGTAGCAACACAAACTTAGCAGCTTAAAATGACACACATTTGTTATGTCACAGTTTCTGTGGATCAAGAGTCTGGGTACAGCCTAACTGGGCCCTCTGAGCAGGGTCTCACAAGGTGCAATCAAGATGTTGGCTGGGCTGCATCCTTTCTGGAGCTCAGGGTGCTCTTCCAAGCTCACTGGTTATTAGCAGAATTCAGTTCATTGCAGTCGTAGGACTGAGGTCCCCCTTTTCTTGCTGGCTGTCAGATGGGGGCCAGTACCAGCATCTAGAGGCCTCTTGCAATTTCGCACCGTGTGGCTGTCTCACAATGTGGCAACTGGATTCTTCAAGGCCAGCAGGAGGGCTCAGTCCCTCTTCCAAGACTTTGAGTGATTAAGTCCAGCCCACCCAAGATAATCTCCTTTTTGATGAACTCAAACTTGACTGATTTGGGACTTAATTACATCTGCAAAAGCCCTTCATCTTTGCCATATAATGTAACCTAATCACAGAAGTGACATCCTATCTTATTCACAGTCCCAGCTCTGATCAAGGATTATTCAGGGTGTGTCCACCACGGGGTGGGAATCTTGGGGGCCATTTTAGAATTCAGCCTACCATAAACATGTTTGTGTTGAGCTGGTCCTAGGGTAGTTGGAATCTGGACAATAAATGAACCATTTTTCCGATGTTTCTTCATAACTGTACTCATCTGTTTTCACTTCTTTGAGCTCATCTCCTTCCTCTAAGACCTTGATGTGAGATAATATGCTAAGTCCAGTATGTGTGGATAAGTGATCACAAAGTGAAGATGACCTCAAAGACCCTGATTAACAGTAATGACTCCTATACCTGACTTTCTATATTTTTTATTATTTGACACTTAAATATAATATGTTTTGGTTCTCTGTTTAGTTTCCCCAAACTTTTCCTACTTCTCTCTTTAATAATGAAATATATTTTTAGTTTCTGAGTTTATGCGGCTTTCATGTTCAAGGTTCTTTTCATGAAAATAAAATTTCTTTTTTAGACATATGAACTCATATCTGGCACTGTATAGAACCTGAGAATGTTTTGATTGGATCTTTCTTGTTGAGAGGTCTTATTATATTATGTGCTGGTGTCTAGACATTAGCGCATGACCCTTGAGAAGGAGAGTTGGTGTCTGTGGTACTGTTTCAAATCTCTGAGTCTAGGCTCAAGGTTCACTCGTGTGGATGCAAATACAGAGCAAATCGTAACTTCTCAACTCTCTGTTCCTGGTCAGAGCTGTTCAGTCTCTGCTTGAGGAGAAGTTACAGAAGGACAAGACCAAATCTGGATTTGGTAGTGTGACAATTCACCGTGAGTGTGGTATCACCTTCAGGGGATCTGAAACTCAACCAGAAGCCACACACATTCATTGACGTGGTGCCTTCAGTAAGAGACGGGAGTGAGAGACTCTCTTCCCCAGCCATGCTGATTGCTGCCCTAAGACTGCTGATGCTGGTGGCAGTGGCTGAATTTCTCATTGGCCTGGTTGGAAATGGAATTCTTGTGGTATGGAGTTTTGGAGAATGGGTCAGAAAATCCAAGGGGTCCTCATACAACCTCATTGTGCTGGGCCTGGCTGTTTGCCGATTTCTCCTGCAGTGGTTGATTATGATGGACTTAATCCTGTTTCCGCTTTTCCAGAGCAGCTGTTGGCATCGCTATCTCAGTGTCTTCTGGGTTCTGGTAAGCCAGGACAGCCTGTGGTTTGCCACTTTCCTCAGATTCTTCTACTGCAGGAAGATCACGACCTTTGAACACCCCATTTACTTGTGGCTGAAGCAGAGGGCCTATTGCCTGAGTCTCTGGTCTGGGGTACCTCATGATCAGTTTGTGACTTGTGGTCCACATTGGCTTAAAGCCTTGCAATCCTTCCCATGGAAACAGCAGCATTCTATACCCCTTTTCAAACTGGCACTATCTGTGTATTTTACATCTCAGTGCAGGAAGTGTGGTGCCTTTCATGGTGTTTCTGGTTTCTTCTGGGATGCTGATCGTCTCTTTGTATAGACACCACAGGAAGATGAAGGCCCATACAGCTGGTAGGAGGGATGCTCGGGCTCAGGCTCACATCACTGTCCTGAAGTCCTTGGGTTGCTTCCTTGTACTTTACGTGGTTTATGTTCTGGCCAGCCCCTTCTCCATCACCTCCAAGTATTCTCCTGCTAATCTCACTACTGTCTTCATCTCTGAGACACTCATGGCTGCCTATCCTTCTCTTCATTCTGTCATATTGATCATGGAGAATCCCAGGGTGAAGCAGATTTGTCAGAGAATTTTGTGGAAGATAATGTGTGCTTGGAGATCTTGGGGCCTGTGATCTGGGGAGAAAGGAGTGGCCAAACTTTTGAGTCTTTTGACTTGAGACTTTTGTCTTGAGACTTTTGAGACACTCTTTTGATAGTTCTCTATAAGGGAGTTGACTTAAACATCTTTTAAAATTTTCCTTCTTTGACATCAAATCAACAAATGGACAACAGGAAATAAAAACCAATACTATTTCTCTTTTGGCAATGCAAAGTACATTGTTTTAATGTGTTAGAGAAGTCAAGGCTGGGGCTTTATGTTTGCTAAAAGAGGTATTATATTGTTTTTATGTAGCAAATAATTCATTTATTTTTAAATTACATGTATAAGTCTTGTTTTTCTTATTATAGGAAACAGATTAGGCACAATTAGTATAGTGGTAATTAATTTTTATGAAATTTCACCTATCCATTAGCATTAGTTATTTTAGATAAGCTTTTTAAAAGAAGAAGTATCAAGTAATTTTTTCATTTCTCTACTCTGATAGGTCTAGTTGTCTAACTGGAAAACAAAGCAAAACATCCTTATGTTTCTGGAAGTTTCTTTGAGCCCTAGACTTGCCTTTTAGGACAAAAGTCAGTTGGCTGTCATGATCTGTGTTAAGCTCCAAAGCCCAGGACCTGGAGTGGGGCAAGATGGGAATGAGGGGCACTTTCTTGCTCTAAAAAGGGACACTGCTCCCTGAAGAGGTCAAGCCTTATCCTCTGATCACTTAGCCATCCTGACTGTCCACTCTGACCTCTCCACAGCCTGGAGTCAGAGTTTTGGCCTAGTCTTTGAGTTGGATGGAGATCATCTAGAATGTCAAATCCATGGCAGCAGGAATTGTGTCTGTTTTTGTTTTCTCCTGGGCTCCTGGTGCTTCGAACACTACTTAGCCCATAGTAAGAACTTAACAAATGTTTTCTAATGTAGAATGCTCAAGTTTATGAGTAATTTTAAACGGATGAAATAAGCAACTAATTTTTCAAGTTTGATATTGGTGGGATATCTGGGAGCCAAGATCCAAACTCATGACAGACTGAAGAGTCTATGACTTGGTTTTCTTAGGAACAAAATACTTGCATTCTCCCAGTGACCTTTTGGGATTGGATTTCCTTCCTTTTTAGTACATGATTTAGCTCATGATGGGTGTGAAGCTACTTTGTGTTTTATACAAGAAAACAAATCTGGAGGCAAATGTGTATTCTTGAAATTGATTCCTATGTAATTAAACCTCGTATAGTTTGCATTCTCAGAGCTGCAGCAGGATCCATGTGTATGTGCGTATGTGTGTGCATGCATGTAGATATTGCTAGCCTTCCTTTCTACAGCCTAGAGGAGGACTAAAAAAGATTGAAACAGTACAGAAAGGTAGAAAACAAATAGCAACATTTTCTCGTTCCATTCTCCATTATTAGTCCCACTGTGCAGATATAGAAGTATTTTAACATTTGTCTTTGTTCTTCTAGTGATTACTTTCACAACTCTAAGTAATAAGATTTGGCCTCTCTTACTTGGTTTATCAACTTTGAACTGGAACTTTTGAATCCCATTGAGCAAAGTTTGGGGATTATCTCACTTAACCCCAAATCCATTCCCCTCTCCTAAATTTGATTAGTTTTAGTTGTCATTCTTCTAGTCATTAATTTTATAACTTTAGGAATTATGTTTTTAACTTTACTTTCTTGAACCATAACTTATGACAGTATCTACAGAATCTGAATTCTGTAGAAGGAAGAAATTAATACTTCAACTTTCCTGTTCTTTTCCCATATCCCAACTCATACGTCCAACTTCATGTGACTTAGGGTGAAACTACACTTATTGAAGGAAATTGGCTGGCTCATAAAATCACTGGGAAGGGTGGAAAGTCAGTATCAGAATGGGAACCAAGAGAGTTTATACAACTGAGAACACAACTAAGCCACTCTTCAGGAACTGGTGCTGGCACCACTGCTCATATTTCAACTGTCAGCATTGCATCTTTGACATTGTCACTGCCTCTGTGAATGTATCTTTTTGAGTCATAGCTCTAAGGTCCAAAATCCTGGCTAAGAGTCTCCTGTTGGCTGATTGTAGGTCACACACCTGCCCTAGCTGGCAGGTCCTGGGGCTTTAAGGAGTCTGATTCCCCTTTGGCTTCTGAAATATGTGTTTTTAAATTAGATGAAATAAAGTACTCAATAGTTAGATTAAGCAGCAGACTCGATTCAGCTGATTGTGAATTAGTGAACTAGAAGTTCAGCTCAAGGAACTCTCTCAGAAAGTATCAGGAAGCAATGGAAAGATGGAAAATGCAAGGAAAAGAAAAGCTATATGGCACATAGAAATAACAGGGTAATTATCTATGTAAGTGGAGTCTCAGAAGGAGATGGAAAAAATGAACAGAAGGAATGAAATATTTGAAGAATTAATGACCAAGAATTGCGCTGAGTTAAAGAAAGATTTGTGCCGGCTCCGTGGCCGAGTGGTTAAGTTCGCACTCTCCGCTGCGGCGGCCCAGGGATCGGATCCTGGGCGCGGACATGGCACTGCTCGTCAGGCCACATTGAGGCGGCGTCCCACATCCCACAACTAGAAGGACCTGCAACTAAGATACACAACTGTGTACAGGGGGCGTTTGGGGAGATAAAGCAGAAAAAAAAGGGAAAAGGAAAAAGAAAGATTAAAAGAAACCTATATTAAAAGGCTTGAAGGGTGGTGTCAAAGAAGACAGGTAAGGTGAAAGGCAAACCTTCAGCACATTATAGAAAAATTTAAGAATATCAAACACAAAAGGAAAGTTTATAAAACTGTAAGAGAGAAAGAGAAGATCAAGAATCAGAGAAACACTTCTCAGCAGAATGTCGAGCAAGATTTTGCATTGCAATTTATTCTAATAAATATTTTACTCTTATTTTCAAATAATACCAAGAAGAAAAGTTTAGAAATATTTCTGGCTAGCAGCATATTTTGTATTGATTATATACAGGAAGTTAATCATAAAAATGTCGATGAAGGCTTAGTGGATTGATGATCATGAGGTTACTGAGTAAATCTGAAATGTTTTAACAATCAAAGAAAATCTTGAAACTCTAAAGGATTTTGAAAGAAAGTTATATCATATTCACAACCGGATTAAGGGGTCGTTGTTGCATATAATTGGAGATAATTCTAGGTGGGAAAATGTCTCTGGCACAAATAATTGCCAGTGCTACAAAATTTGATAGAATGAAGTAAAGGAAATGGGAGAAATAGATAAAAAAAAATTAAGCATGTAGATTGAAGACAAAAGAAACTATCAGGGGCAACTTACTCTCAATTAGAGAGAAAGCCTTAGCAATATATGAGCATTTTAAGAAGAAAGCTGAACACTTTGCTGAAGTGCTTTCCTTTAGTGGGAGCTAGTGGAGTGGCTTCAAGAACCTCTACATTCTACACAATCTTGAGTTAATGACGAAATTATGAGTGAAGATTAAGTAGCTGTGAAAACATTCCCCCTGTGTTTTAAATAAGTATATTGTTAGATAAGGCTATAGTCTCGTTCAGGTTTTTTTTTTTAAAGATTGGCACCTGAGTTAACATATGTTGCCAATCTTCTTTTTTTTGTTGTTCTTCTTTTCCCCAAAGCCCCCCAGTACATAGTTGTATATTCTAGTTGTGAGTGCCTCTGATTGTGCTGTGTGGGACGTCACCTCAACATGGCCCGATGTGTGATGCCATGTCCGCACAGAGGATCCGAACTGGCGAAACCCCTGGCCACAGAAGCAGAGCACGCGAACTTAACCACTCGGCCGTGGGCCGGCCCCAAGATTTTTAATTGTAGTGAAACTGATCTCTAGAAATTAATGCCCTCAAAGATTTGTACTTTGAAAGAAGAACAAGCTCCAGTTTAAGAGCTATGAACAAAGAACTGAGGCTGAGCACAAAGGCTAGCAGAGATGTATCTTTCTAGAATCCTTATTAGCATTGTTTTTATTTCAGTTAGTGCTTTGGTTACAAAGTTACATAGATTTTCAATAGCCTTCTTCAACATTATTTTCCTAATAGGCTCTTTTACTTTTTGTACATGATTTTGCAGAGTTTGAAGTTTTATGAGAACACATATATCACTTTATAGCAGGAGTGCTTGTCATAAGCTTGTCATGATGATTAAGTGAATTAATATATGCAAAGTGCTTAGAAGAGTGACTAGTGCATAGCAATAGCTATAAATATTTACCTTTAATATTATTATCATACTACTCTTTGGGAACAGTAACTTTAAATATTTTCACTGGCAAGGAATAATTAAAGATAGAGAAAATAGGATGGAAGTACCACATGAATATGGTTTGGCGGTGATTTCCCAAGTATCTGGGTGCTTCACCATCACTTGCTAGTTCCTTTAACCCTGCCCACACCTTTATAAATCATTTATTAAATTCTCTTCAATTACTTATTTGTCTTGTTTCTTCTGACTTATATTAAAAAGTCAAAATTTTGTTCTTTGAAAAGACTTATAAAGTAACAAATCCACAAATCTATTAATATAGATTAATAAAAGAGAAAAGCTGATAACATGATCTTGTATGTAGAAAATCCTAACGAATACACAATAAAGTTATTAGAAGTAGTAAACAGCTTCAGCAAGGTTACAGGATACAAGATCAATATACAAAAATCAATTGTATATCTGTACACTGGCAATGAACATTTCAAAAATGAAGTTTAGAAAGCACTTCTATTTACAATGGCATTAGTAAGGAATAAGATACTGAGGAATAAACTTACCAGAAGTACAAGATTTATACACTGAAAACTATAAGACTTTCTGAAAGAAATTAAAGAAGACCTAAATAAATGGGAAGACATCTCATGTTCATGGATTGCAATACTTAATATTTTGAAGATATCAATACTCCTCAGATTGATCTCAGATCAACACAATCCCTATCTGAATCCCAGTTGGCTTTTTTTTTTCAGAAATTGACAAGTTGGTCCAAAAATTCATATGGTGTTGCAGGAGACCCATGATAACCAAAATAATTTTGAAAAAGAACAAATTTGGAGGACTCACATTTCCCAATTTCAAGACTTACTATAAAGCTGTAGTAACCAAGACAATGTGGTATTGGCATAATGATAGACATATGAATGAGAATTGAGAGTCCAGAAATAAACTCTCACACTTGTGGTTAAATGATTTTCGTTAAGGATGCCAAAACAATTCAACAGTAAATAGTCTTTTCAACAGATGGTGCTGGGACAACTGGATGTCCACATCCAAAAGGATGAAGTTAGATCCTTACCTCATCCCATGTATACAAGTTGACTAAAAATATATCGTAGACTTAAGTGTAATACCTACAACTACATAACTCTTAGAAAAAAACTTACAGGAATAAGTCTTGATGATTTTAGCTTACGCGATGGTTTCTTAGATATGACACCAAAAGTATAAGCAGCAACAACAAAATAGATAAATTAGGCTTCAACAATTTAAAAAACGCAAGAAAGAGAAAAGACAAACTATAGAATAGGAAAAGTATTTGCAAATAATATATCTGATAAAAGACTTATATCCAGGATATATAAAGAACTCTTAGAACTCTGTAGTAAAAAGACAATCCAATTAAAAACTGGACCGAGAGTTTGAATAGGTATTTTTCCAAAGAAGATGTACCAATGGCCAACAAGCACATGAAAAGATGGTCAACATCCTTAGTCATTAGGGAAATGCAAACCAAAGCCACAACGAGCTACCACTTCATACCCATCAGGATAGCTAAAATAAAAAAGACAAAAATACATGTTGATGAAGATGTGGAGAAATGTATTACTGGTAGGGACATAACTTGGTGCAGCCACTTTGGAAAACAGTTTGGTAGTGCCTCAAAATATTAAACACATAGTTACCATAAAACCCAGCAATTCCACTCATAGGTATACAGCCAAGAGAAATAAAAATACATATCCATACAAGAGCTTGCACATGAATGTTCATGGCAACATTGTTCATAACAGTCAAGAAGTAGAAATAACCTAAATGTCCACCATCTGATGAATGGATAAACAAAATGTGTTATATATAAATATATATACATTCATACAAAGGAATATTAGTCAGCCATAAAAAGGAAAGAAGTACTGATATATGCTACAACATGGATGAACCTTGAAAACATGCCAAGTGAAAGAAGTCTATCACAAAAGACTACATATTATATGATTCCATTTATATGAAAGGTCCAAAATAGTAGATTTAGTATTAGTAGATAAATAAAATAGTAGATAAAGACATATTAAAGACATAAGGATTGGGAAAAAAGAAATAAAACTGTCATTATTTTAAGAGGATATGATTGTCTACATAGGAAATCCCAATAATTTACAAAATATTAGGAAATAAGTTAATTTAGAAAGGTAGCTGGATATAAGGTCAGTGCACAAAAGTTAATGTGTTCCTAGGTGGGAGTATGAAGCAATTAGTAAATATGAGTTTTTAAAAGACCATCTTTTACAGCCTGTAGTATAAAGCTTTAGACAGTAGAGCTTCATGGTGAAAGTTAATTTCAGATTCTCAATCTTGGTTGAATGAATCTCAAGCTTGCAGGATCACTTTGGTAGATTAGAAAATATCCTGATGCCCAGGCCATACCAAAGAGCAATTAAATCAGAATCTCTGAGATAGGAGCCAAGCATCATGTCTTAAAGTTCCCCAGGTGATTCTGATGTGCAGCAAATGTTGAGAAGAGTAGATCATTAATCTCATTGGAGTTTTCCTGATGTGTAATCAATTTAATTACCATAGTATCATGTTGAGATGAACTTATATTGAATATAGGGTAAAAGATGACTTTAAAAAAATAGGTATCAACAATTCAGGCTTTCTTTCCTTTAATAAGTTCTTGTAATTCAGTACTTTCTGGATATTTCTGAGGAACTAGAAAAAGAGTTGGAGGAACTTCTGTTGACAGCAGCATTCACTCCAAGGCCCGTAGCTTTGTATCAACTGGCTTTGGATTTTCCTGGTATCCCCACGGGAGCATTTGCCAAATCATTACTTCTGAGAAATCCCTTGCCCTTTACCCTTCTTTTGCCCTTTTGTCCTTGGCATCACTGTCTAGGTACACTCAGACTCAGGAGCCACGTGTTATCACACTTTATTATTACATTTGCCATGAACGCATGCTCCATCCTCACTTTCCCATCCCTGATCACCGCATTCTCACTATTCCATGTTAATCATGATATCTCTGGGAGAGCAGACACCACTTCCCTTTCAGTTCCCTTTTCTACATTCCTGGCATTCCTAAGGAGAATTCTTAGAACCTGCGCAAGTTTTGGTTACCTTGTCAAATGAGTCTTTATATGTACTCTATTTAAAATGTTGCCTCAGCACCTTAGTGTTCCCAGTTCCACTATATTTTCATTTTCATAGTGCTTTTCTGACATAATACGTTTTTAAATTTATTTAACTACCTGTGTCCCTAAAGTAGAATATATACAGCACAAGGACAGGGATCTTTTCGCTTGTTTTCCTCCTGTATCTTCAGT